GCATGCACACAGACAAACACACATGCACACGCACACAAACACATGCATGCACACAGACACATGTACACACGCACAGACACAGGCACATGCACACACAGACACACACACACACATGCACACACAGACACGTCCACGTCTCACCTCGATGGTGCTGTATGCCTCTTCGCTGTTGTCCCAATCGGGGTCGTAGACCGTCTTGATGGCGTCCCCCAGGGAGCGGCTCGCAGCGGCCATGGCTGCCAAAGTGAATGGTTGAGGTGCAGTCAAATCATCATGACCACAGCAGCAGGTTCGTCAATGAGCACCCAGCCAAATCACCACCAGCTCACAGAAGGCGACAGCACGCTACGAGAGGGCATATGCACGTATTAGCCGCTGTCTTACTTCGCACTGCCTTGATGTAGTTGCCGACCTCCTTGTGCAATCGCGTTGCATGCATCTGCAGCGTATGAAGCAAGCAAGGCAGCACAAGTTGCACACATCAGGCAAATGAAACCAAGGCAGTGCGCCACCAAGGCAATGTCTCGTCGTTAAGGCGACGCCTTGCCACCACCATGGACACTAACATGATCACAAGCACCAAACCATAACCACCCGCATGATCGTGACCACCACCAGTGCTGTGCCAGCATCAACAAGATGGGGTTGGTTGCGCACCGCCTGGGCGTTGAAGTTGGCGACGTGCTCTGCAAACTCCTCGTCCTCCACATGCTCTGTTTTGCTCAGCTGTCAGGCACAGCCAGTTGACAGAGCGATTAAGACCATGCATTGAACCACGGGTGCTTCTCTCTCTCTCTCTCAAAGCACAGCACACGATGCTCAAAGCAAACGGTTCGCCCACATGACACGGTGCACATTCACACACACACACCCACACACATCCTCCAAAACGATGCCAAAGGGACATGCAAGCACGATCCTGGAGACGAAAGAGCAATCTCGCTCAAACAAAACAAACAAACAAACACCATAACCACTCCCGCTCACACGTACGCCCGCACACCTTTTGTCTGATCTTCTCCTGCTGGCGCGTCAGTTGCTTCTTGGCAACCCGAAAGAAGCTCTTCTTCTCGCTCATCGTAGCGGGGGGTTTGGATGTGGATGTGGATGTGGATCGCGGGAGGCGTGGGTTGTGTTTGTGTGTGTGTGCATGGATCCAATCCAAGCCAGCCAAGTAAGCTCACTACAATTTATCATGTCGGCTATGAAACGACCACCAGCCAGCCAGCGTTGCGCCAGCCCACCATCCATCCCATCCATCCGTTGTGATGTGACTCGCTCCATGTCACATCACGAACAGGCTGACATACACACATACACACATGCACGCACGCACATACGCCAAGTCTCATCATGCCATGACATGCTCGCTGTCCATCCAGCAGTTCACTGGTCCTGTCTGGTGAGTTGGGTCTCTGCAAACCGAACAAGGTCAGCCAAGTTTGTGATGGGTCTGTCGTCATCGGCAAATGTGTCACGTCTCGCTACGCGTGGGGCCGATGCCGCTAGTGTTGCAGATGGGGGTTGCGATCCTTCGCCTGCGCCTGTTCTCCCCGTGCTTCCTCTTCTACTTCCTCTTCGTGCGTGTGGTGCTGGGACGGAGTAGTGGAGTGAACGTGCAACGCCGAGCGAGTGCTGCGATTGCTGCTGCCGCTGCTGGTGATGGGTGTCGTGTGCCTGTGTCACTGTCCCGGCAGGATGGTGACCGCCATGCAGTGCACCGGTGGAGTTCACAGACGAGGCGAGACTCTCCCCAGCCTCAGGCGGGTGGCGAGCGCGGGAAGCAAACTGCCATCGCCCCCTCATGCTCGCTTGTTCATGTTCTGACACAACCGTGGTTTCCAGCGCGGAAAGTCGAAGTGGGCTCACCATGACCACAGACTCCGGCTCACCGTCTTGCGGATTTCGTGGCTGCGACTGCTGGTGATGCTGGTTGTGCTGGTGTTGTGAGTGATAGGAGTGGTGGGGATGCATTGCTTGCTGGTGTGGCGCTGTCTCGTGCTGCTGATCGCCGTACCGAAGTGCTGTTGGTGTGTTTGGTGCGTGCGCCATGGTTGGCGGCGGCGGCCCTGTGACAAATGTTGACGTTGACGGAAGGTGTTCGTGGCTGGCTTGTGTTGGCTGAGGTGGCACAGATTGTTCACGCAAGTAGCGCACCCACAGGTTGTGGTGTGACAGTTCTGGTGGCAGCGTTGGCAGCGTTGGCACGTGGTGGGTGTCGGCAGCTCGAGGCTCACTTGTCCACACGTCGGTATCGTCATCATCACGAGCATGTTTCTCTCCCTCCTCCTCCTCTTCGCCTTCCACCTTATCCTCCCCAGACCCGTCCTCTTGTTCTTCCTCCTCCTCCTCCTCCTCCTCCTCCTCCTCCTCCTCCTCGTCGTGGTTGTCAGTGTTGTTGAAGCCACCACTCGTTCTGGCTCCAGGAGCTGCGCGTGCTGTGTTTGCTCGTTTGGACTGCCGAATAGGGTGTTGCTGCTGCTGCTGCTGCTGCTGCGTTTCTGTCGCATGTTCCTGTGCCCCTTTGGTCCTTGCCTCGGTTTGGGATTGCACAAGTTCGCACTGTATTCCCGTGTCCTCAAACCCCTGGTATTGCGTGCTCGCATCAACCATGACCTGTGCATCAAGCACACGCACATGCACAATTGGTTGGTTCTGAGGGGACAGGATGACCATCAAAGGGAGAGAAACAGGTGGGGGAGAGCGACAGTCGGGAAAGGGGAGAAACAACGAGAGCGCGTGCGTGTGCATGCGAGAGGCTCGAGGGAGAAGAAGGACGGGTGGCACAGGAAGAAGCAGTAGCTGTTGCTGCATGGCCAGTGATCCATCACCTTTGCCTCATCCTCTGCCCGTCTGTCGTTGACCGCCTTTGTGAGGACTGTGCACTGTTGTTCGGTGGCTTGAAGTCGGTCTCGCAGCATCTCAAGCTCCTGTGCGCACGAGTGTGTGTGTGTGTGTGTGTGGGTGGGTGTGTGTGTGTACGCGGGCAGACGATTAGGCGAGTGCAAACAGCTCGACCAAAGTCAAGGTGCAGGGTGCACCTCGTGGAGTGAGTAGCACACACGCATGGATGCCAGGCCAACCTGTTCCAGGTGTTGGTTGTGTTCGAGGAGTGCGCTGTTCTGTTCTTGAAGGTCAGCAACGGTTGTCTCGTGTGTCTTGACCATCTCTTGCCGGTTTTGATCTGGACAACGGGGGAACAAGAGTGCACATGTGTTGCAGTTGTGAGGAGAGATGCTGGCTCGTCCATTTGCCACATGGGTAATGTAACAAGCTCAACACATCCGCACAGGGCGCAAGAAAGGGAGCGTTTGTGTCCGCCACGCTTACACGCACTCACACACACCCATGTACATGCACAGCATAGCGCATCAACAAACACATGCTCTCATACACAGCCACACACACACACACACACACACACACACACACACAAGTATGAACAAAGTGCAACAGCAACCGAAGCACAAGCACCGTGCGGTTGCTTACTGAGTTCTGCCAGTTCTGCAATAAGCCGAGCGACGCGTCGCTTATCCCCGGGACACAAGTCGACAAAGGTGGCTGTCCCAGAGCGAAGGAGTGGGCCGTTTGCATCTTCCTCGTGTCCTTCCTCTTCAACATTGTGGCTGTCTTCACCAGCATCACGTCGTTTTGGCAGTGCTCTTCCGGCAATGCTGGGTGCTTTGGCGGTGTGCTGCTGAGGCTTTCCAATCCTCCCAGCTGCCTTTGCTTGTAACGCGTTGCTCGTGGCTGCTGCTGATGTGCTGCTGTTGTTGTTGGAGGCTGTTCGCAGCGTGGCGGTTGTGGTTGTGGTTGTGGTGGAGCCATGCCGTGCAGGGTTTTGGGGAAACAAGCGGTGTGACCCCGCCAGCCCTTGCACGCCACGCGGTCTTGCTTGTGCCTGTGCCTGATTCTGTGCATGTGTGCCACCGCCACTTCTTCCTCGCCGTGTACCATCGTCTCCTTCCTCTGCAGCCGCTTTCTTTGCTGCAGGCCACGACCGCAGCGTCGCTGACCACTCCATTGTTGTTGACCGTTGCTGGTTGTTGGTGTTTTTTCAAATTTGGCGGCACAAAACAAGGCAATGAAAGGGAAGGATGTGTGGTGGTGGTTGGTGTGCGAGCTCCTAGATGAAGGTGGAGATGAAGACGGTGTCTCCAATGTTGAGGGTCATGTGCCACCATTGCGCATCGATCCACAGCACCTGGCATGCACCGCGTCATCGAGGCCAATGGAGCAAGGGAGGGGTTATAAAGATGGAGGGCGTGAGGGTGCGTGAGAGTGAGTGTGTATGTGTTTGTGTGTGTGTTTGTGTGTGTGTTTGTGTGTGTGTTTGTGTGTGTGTTTGTGTGTGTGTTTGTGTGTGTGCGAGAGGGTGAGTGAGTGACGGAGAAACGGCAATGCCAATCCACACACACACACACACACACACACACACACACACACACACACACACACACACACAAAACGACAACAATGACAACAACGGCGCAACCTCGTTGGGGTATAGGGTGCACTCGAGGATCAAGTCCTTCTCCTGCTGAGAGTAGGTGGGCCACACGAGATGCAGCCAGCGATATGATGTCTCGTCAGGGCTGAACCGTGGCGTGACCTCAGGCGGCGCCAGGAACCAGCGCTTGGCGCCATGTAACACTTCCGCAAACACTTGCAAATGAAACATGAAGCAGGACACCGAGTCAAGAAGAAGAAGAAGTGAACATCATCCACACACACGCGGACACATACACGCACATATGTACACACACACATGCGCACGCGCGCGCACACACGCACACACACACACGCGACATACGCACACGCACACACAAACACAAACACACATACATACAAACACACACCTGCGCCGTGTGTGTGAAAGGGGACACCGGAGCCGCTGCCGCCAATGCCAAAGCTGAAGAAAGGCTCCCTGGTGTATGTGTAGTCTGGTCGATGGTAGTGCTGTGTAAAGTTGGTCCAACTGCCCGCACGCAATGTAATGTGAGCAACCTCTGCGCGTGCACGCGCGCGTATGTGTGTGCAAGTATGACTCTGGCACACAGGCAAGGTGCTTGGCAGTGCTATTGAAAGGAGCCACACCTCTTGTCGTAATCGTTGTTTCCAAAGAAGTACCACGTGTCGCCTGAAAGATGCAAATGTTGAGGATGAAGGTTGTGAGTGAAAAGTAGGCGGAGACACGCAATCACAAGCAAGCGAACACACACACACACACACACACACACACACACACACACACACACACACACACACACACACACACAACACACACACAACACAAGCAAACAAGCACAAGGGTGCACCTGCGACATCGTCCATTGTTCGTGGTCGCACGAGGTGTTCCAAGTATTCCCGAAAGACAAGCTGAGCCAACAAGGAAGATTGATGAACACTGAGCAAAGGCATGCACGCACCATTGAACAGGCAACACATGGTGGGACAGAACACAAACAAACGTACGTATGTAGACAGACACGCACTCATACGCATTCTAACACACCCACACACTCGTAAGCATTCTAACACACACACTCGTAAGCATTCAGACACACACACACACACACTCTCTCTCTCTAACACACACACACACACAACACACACAACACACACAACACACACAACACACACAACACACACAACACACACAACACACACAACACACACAACACACAAGCACCGTGTTCTTCTTGTAGCTGTGAGTGTTGGCAGAGCTGAGGACAACGGATGTGTTGCCATACTGCTGCAGGAGGTTCTGCTTCGTGCACACGGATTGGAAGTAAGAGTTGTCCTTGAAGCCGACCAAGATGACGGGATCTGTGCGTCCTTGCGCCTGATACGCCTCCCACTCCTCCTTTGTGTACAGCTTTGGAATGTTGCACCTGCACAAGCGCGTGCGATGTGTGCACAATACGTTTTTCGTGAGGCGTCCTGCGCGTGTCATGCGCGTGTCATGCGCGTCATATGCGTCATATGCGTCGTGTATGCCGGCTCAACAAACACTGTACGCATACCTTGAAGAGTAGAGGGGCTCGTGGTGCACTGGCGGCGTTGCCCAGGTCGCAGCGTCCACTCCTTGCACATCACTGAGGCAGCAAAACACATCCAATGAACGCATGACCAACAGAGGGAGGGTAGAGCACGCAGAGAGATGGAGAGAGGGAGGAGAGAGGGGAAGAGAGTGTGTGAGGAGAGACACACACACACAGACACACACACACACAACACACACACACACACGCACACACACACACACACACACACGCGCGCACACGCACACACGCACACACACACGCACACACACACACACACACACACACACACACACACACACACACACACACACACACACACACGCACAACATACTTGCTGGCTTCTCCCGCGCCGACGGGCAGCAGCAGCGACAGCGCGACAACAAGCAGCACAGCCATGCCTCTGTGCAACCACATCAACCACGTCCGGATTTTCCCACTGTTGTTGTTGTTGACGACGATGATGAATGCGTGGCGGTGCGTGCTTCATGGAATGATGCCTGTGGGCAGACTGCACAGGCCGGCTCACGTGGGCACGCAGGTGAGGGGCTTGGTTAGAAGGCGGCTGGTCAGGGCGCTACATGGCGGCGGCGCGGCACACATTGATAGGAGGCAGCAGGTATCTCAACGACGGCGATGGTGGTGGCTGGCGTGTGTCCTTGGCGGCGGTGTGGCGACCACGACAGCAGCAGCGGCGGCAGTGGCCAATGCAGAAGGAGAGCGCCCCCTGGTGGCAAATGAGGCATCCCTTTACAAGCTACTGCACGCCATCTACAACGACCTTGATGCAGACTATGGCATCGCAGGCTTTGCTGCCCTCTCCGACCAAGAAGAGGACGACATTGATGAATCCGGTGCGCGCGTATGTGTGTGTGTGTGTGTGTGTTGTGTGTTTAGGTGTGTGTGTGTATGACTGTGCATGCGTGTGTGCGAACACGCGAGAGTGGGAGCTTGTATGAGTCAGTGAGTGAGTGAGCCAGTATGTCTCAACAAGTGCGTGCGTGCAACTGCGCTCTGCGTGCCAATGTTCACGCCACTGGCGTCGCTGCAAGGAAGGCTTGCGTCTGAAATCCCACACCATCCTGTGGATCATCCCCCCACTCGCTCACTCAATCACTCATTCATTCAAGGACCCACCTATTCTGCCACGAACACGCATGCACAGGTGGTCACAGCGCGTATGGGGAGATCCTGCCCCAAGGGGTGACGGCGGTCATGCAGGCAATTCAACCCCACCCAGGCTTTGTCTTCTACGACCTCGGCTCCGGCCTGGGCAAGATGGCCATGCAGGTGCCACAACGCTGTCACAAACCAAACACCGTGAAACGCACAAGCAGTGTCTTGGAGTAGGGGGGGGGGGAGAGATTAGCTTGGTGACTCGGACACATCTGAATCTGCCTGCTTGCTTGCCTTGTGCTCGTTCCCTTTGATGACACAGGTATTCTTGCAGTTTCAAGCTGGGAAAGCGTGTGGTGTTGAGCTGGCGCAGACGCGCCATGAGGCTGCACAGAAGGCCTTGGCCAGGGTGAGTTTGGCAGGTGCTTGTCTGAGCTCACACGCATATGTGCAGCATTCGCTTGCCTGTTGCTCTTTGGCATTGTACAAGCGATGCTTGCTCTCAGCATCCTCTTACCAATCACGTTCATGCCTGTGTTATCGCGTTCTCAATCATGTGCTGCCTGACGAATTCACACACACACACACATATGAACACAAACTCACACACTCACTCTGTTCCATCTCACACACACCACACACACACGCATGTACACACAAACTCACTCACTCACTCTGTTCCATCACACAAACATACACACAAACGCCTTTCTCTCACCCACGTCCTCCCACATCGCTCGCCTGCTTGCGTTCAGCTGACAAAGATGCTGGGCACGGACCCGGTGAACCTTCAGTTTGTGCACGGCGATATCATGAAGGTGCAAGCAAGCATGCATGTTCGATGCCATGGCAGTGTTATTCATAGGTACATATAGTCAATTATGCTACAACCAGCGCTTACTCGTGTCTGTGGTGCTGTGTTCCGCTCACATGCTGTTTTGTCGGCGTAGGCGGACGTGCGCGACGCGGATGTTGTGTATCTCGCCAGCTTGTGTTTTGAGGAGCCGTTTCTCACTGCACTGGCGTCCCGCCTCGTCGGAGACGCCCCGCGAATGAGGTGCGTGTAGTTGTGCTCGCTGCATGTGTGGCCACGTGTTTGCATGCGTCCTATGCGCGTGTTGCTTGCCCGTGCATCTTGTCTTCCTCTGTACGCACGTTGTCTCTATGCATCCCCGTCCTTGATTGTGACATTGTTGTGAACGTCGGCACATGTCAGTGCACATTGTCCACCACGATACACTTGCCAATCTACCTCTTGCTGCTGCTGCCACTCACGACCACACACTGACGCCCCGAGACTCTTCGTGTTGGTGTCCTTATCTCCCTGCAATCATGTCATCATTAGCGTGCTCATCTCCATCCAGCCCATCAGCGAAGCAGCGTCAGACTTCCACGCACAATTCAAGCTGGAAACTGTACGTACGTGCACCCGGTGCCACGTCCGCTTGTTACATGTACACACAACGAGGGGAGGAAGGCGTGTTGTGTACCGTGCTCCGCGTACTGCAACTTCTCTGCAAGAGCACATCGCGCTGCGTGCACGGTGGTGTTTGCTCCCCTGCATTCTATTCCATCAGGCTCAACACCACGCGTTGACTTGGGTTTATCGTGACTTCAGGTTCTCAACGTTCCCATGTCCTGGGGCAACGCTGACGTGCACGTGTATCGACGTCCACTCAGCATGATCCCAGAGTTCGCCATGTAGCTCTGTGTTCGTGTGTGCGTGTGCGTATGCGCTCGTGTGTGTGTGTGTGTATGTGTGTGCGCACGTCAACGCACGACATTCGTAGTTGTCACGTTCAGTGCTCCACTTTGCAAAGTACATGTCAATACACCTGGTCAAACGAGATGTACTCACTCGTGGCTTTGTTATACTCGTTGGCGGCTTGTTCTTTGTGTTTCTTCTGTTTTATTCTCCATCACCTTGGAGTGGCTCTGCCTAGTCTGATTTAAATACAAAGCGGTGCTGTGACATGAACTCGCAGCACCTTGCGGAATCGCGAACAATCCTCGTGAAAAGCCATCTTCAGACCATGGCACAGGCGGGAGACATGCACCACCCAATACAACACACACACACACGCACACACACACTCACAAAACGCGTACCTGCATACATTCAGACAAACACATACCAAGACACAACTACACGTACCTCCATGTCTGTGTACAATCTGCTGCCCTCCAAAAGCATTCTACTTGACACACAACCAAGGCGCCGTCTTCGTCGCCTGCATTACACCTCCGTCACATCGGGTCGAGAGTCGCGCGGTAGCACTTTCTTCGACCTGCGTCTCTTCTTCTTCTTCGTCTTCATCGACATTGATTTCGATTTCGGTTTCTCCCCATCTCCGAACATTACTGCTCCTTCTTGCTCCCGTACCTCACGCTCACCCATGTCGTCATCATCTTCTCCATTTTGTCTCTCACCAATGCTACCAATGCTGCTGCTATTGCTGATGCCTTTGCGCTGACTGGCCCACATTTCCTGCGGCGCTGGCTGCTCCTGGCGAACACTGCGCTGTCGCTCTTTGAGTGAAATCTGCCGCGCCAACACTGATCCTCGCTCGTCGCTGCCAAACACCACGGCACCACCATCATCATCATCATCATCATCATCATCATCGTCGTCGTCGTCGTCATCACCAACAGCCCCATTATCGTCATCACCAACACCAGCAGCAGCTTCGCGTTGGGCTGTGCGCCCCCGCCGCTGTCGTAGCAGTGCCGCCTCCTTCTCTCGCTCCTCGGCAACAGCCGTCAGCGGGGAAATGCGATACGACACGCGCGACCCGCCAATGCGGCGGTGGCGAATCAGAAACCGACCCCCACCGCCACCGCCACCACCGCCACCACCACTTCCGCTGTTGCTGCCACTGTTGCTGTTGGTTCTTGGTGGTGTGGGCGAGTGGACTGTGATTGGTGGCAGTGTGGTGGGTGTAGACGGGTGCAGTTGAGTGGTCCTGGTTGGCGCTGTTTGAGCTGGTGGTGCGGACACAGCCGTTGTTGCAGTCGGTTTCGCTGTCGTTGTTGTCGGTATCCTTGCTGATGTTGTTGCCGCCGGTGTTGCTGGTGAAAGTGATGGTCGCGGCGACACGGCTGCGTCGCATGCAAGTGATATGGACGATGACGAGGATGCGGCTGACTGCATGCGCAAATCATCTTGAAGTGTTCGCACGATGCCCGTGTCGAATTCAATGACGGACGAGCCAAAGGACACGCGCTTCTTCTTCCTCCCTGCTGGGTCGTAGTCACCATCGGCATCATCAGCATCATCGTCGCCGAAACTGCTGCTGGTCACACTTGATGCTCTCCGCAGCGTGCTACTGCTGCCACTACTCTTGCGCAGCAGCCGGCGAGTCACCTCACCCCCACCATCACCGCCATCGCCATTGCTAGCACTGCCATCACCACCATCGACTCCGTCGCCATCATCTCCATCGCTCCCGTCCGACGATGACGTGTGTGCGCCCATTCCCACTTCCACGTCAAAGCTGAGTGAGCGATGCTTCCTTCTCTTCCCAAGCATCGGCTGCACACGTGGTGTTGGCAGCGGTGGTTTTGCCGGTGCCATCATCCCTGCAGTCATGTCGGCAGCAGGGTGCGCCTCAACACTCATGCTCTGGCTGAGCGACGATGATGAAAGCTGGGATCTGCCATGGGCGAGTGGGATCGCTGGTAGCTGTCGTGGCAGCGACTCAAAGCTGCCAAACTGGCGTGGAAGCGTTTGCTGACGCCGAACAGGCAGCTCTTGCTGCTCGGATTCCTGCTCCCGCCTGAACACGTCGTTTGTTGCATGTGTGTGTTGGGTGGGGGGGGGGAGAGGAAAGTTGTTTGATTGATGATGACAACACAGACACAAGTGAGAACGAATGCGTGAGTGGGACAACCAACGACCACACATAGTGTGCATGTGCATGGTGGATGTTTGTGAGTGGGCCTGTGACCATCACACTTGCACGCGCTGCGGACGGTGTTTGCATCTCAAGCAAAGAAGCGGTGTGCACAGCGTGTGACGCACAGTATCTTGTAGCCGTGAATGGTCTGTTTGTTCTGTTGCGTCAACTCCCTCACCCTAAAAGCAGAAGAAGCAACAAGCGTGTGATGTGTAATTTGCCCAGGGGGGTGAGTCGGAGCAAGGAAGGAGGACGCATCAATTCATTCATCACACACGCACACGCGCATACGCGCGCGCGACAGCATGGCGAAAGGGTGAAGGTGGACTGCATGTTGTAGATATTGCAGCGAGTACGTACCGTGCTGGCTTTGGCAGCGATTGTGCTAACGATGAGCATGCAGAAGGCGACGCACAAGTGCGTGTGTATCGTGTCAAGGTCAGTGTGCGAGTACGTGCGGGTGTGTGGTATGTGAGGTGACGTGTGTGTGCAATCCGTGACAAAGAGGGCCAAATATTACATCAGAGACATGTGATCAAGCCAATAAGTAGAAACATCATAACAGCACAGCAATGCCTCCCACATGTGTATCATGACACCACTCACAGAAGAGACTTGGTCTGTTGATATTTCGGGTGAGATAAACACACGAGGAAGGTGTGTTGTCGTAGGATAACAAGTAGACAACACAACAGTCACAGTAAGGGCAACAACGGGAGCAAGTGGTGAGCATGAAATTGGCATGACAAGCACAGCAAACACACAGTCAACAACGCTCACACAACATCGCAAGCCTATGCGTAACGCAGCAATTTGTTGCTTCGATACGAAATCATACTCAACACAGACACAGACACACACGCACACACACACACACACACACACACACGCACCGACACACACGTGGTTCACGCAACGCATGCATGCAATAAACACACAACACATTTGAGCAAACGTACAGGTGCAACGATGAGGAGAAGCTCTTTGACTCGTCAAATTGCGAGCGTAGTGCCTTTTGGATATCCAGCAGTCGCTTTGTCATCGTTTCCTCCAGGTCTTGGATGTTTTCGCGCATGTCCTGTTCCGTGCGTTTGATGGACGCCTGGACCTGTCTCACTAGATCCTTGTTGGCGCGGTGGATGGCCGTGATGGTGCCCTGCCACTCGTTCGTGTCCCGTGTCAGGCCCTGATACAGAGAACAAAGTGAGAATCATGACAGGTATGGCATGTGCATGACGCTTGAGCACAGCGTGATCGCGGCCCTGCAAGAAGAAACAGTGTCCAAGTCAAAATCAGTGACTACAACAAGCAGTAGCACCACCACCACGGGCTTCAGCGACATGAGATTGAAGTACACAACAACTGCATCACCTCATCCGATTCAGAAACGAGGGCGTGGAGCCAGCGCGGAAAGTTCTTTGGGTTGATCTCCCTGAAATGGAGGTGAAGAGTAAGTGCGTGTAAATGTGTGTGTGTGTGTGTGTGTGTGTGGGCGTGCGTGTGTGTATCGTGTGTGTGTGCGCGTGTATCGTGTGTGTGTGTGTGTATGTGTGTGAACTTGTGTCAAGTTGTGCATGTGATGGTGAGGGTGATGAGGCGCCACCACAGGCAGCGAGAGAGCAATACAAATCGAGACATTCGTGTGAGAATACTTGCGCATGTGCACTTGCATACCGATCAGACATGGAGAGCTCCAATTCCGCGATGATTCGCGCCTTTTCATAAGGAAACGCATCGCCCTGGCACGCGCAACAATGAACAAGCACAAGCGCGTGTGTGACGAGACGTACTGAGTAACAATGTTTGCACTCTCCGTGTGGCGATGGTCATGCATGACTTAAACAACATGCAGCTCCCCCTAATGGTGATTGTGTCTTCACGACAAGGGCACACGTACCTCTTCCTCGTGCACTTGACTCATAAACTCCGACATCAAGTCTACACACAGGTGTTGGTTGCAATGTGAGACGGTGGTCATGTGTGGGCGTGAGTTAGGGGATGCATATATGACAAGACGAGATGAACACTTTCAAATACACACAGAGGCAAGCACACTCACACCACGCAACACAGGCACACCGACAAACATACAAACAGAACAATGTCGGTTCATCAGCCAATCCCTTTTCCCCAACACACACACACACAGGCACACAAACACAAGCACACGGACGCAGACACACACACACACAGACACACACAGAGGAGACTCACTGATCATGAGGTTCAGCATGAAGATGGTGACGACGAGGGAAAGAATGACAAAGACGAGCTTCCGCACCACATCCTGCACCATGTCTTCTCCCGTGTCATCAGACGATGCGTGCAGTTGAAGCAGCAGCGACTGTGGCAAGGTGGATGGGTGTGAGCAGAGGAAAGGCGCAGTGTAGCTGTGTCAGAGTCGCAAATGTTGGCCACCATCTTGTTTGTGATTTGGAAAACACAGAGAGGAGACAAACGCTACTACCACACAGGTGAGCAATTGTCTGATAGGTACAGGTGACAACAGTGCACTCAGATACACATCCATGTGGACACAAGCACGATGTTTGCATGCGCTACGTACGCCCATGTCGCCGAGTAGAAACACGTTGTAGACGTTGAAGAAGATGTTGGAGGCGTGCGATTCGCTGTCGAAGAGGTAGTCGTCCGTTGGCACGCGACTGAACAGCAGGAAGAAACAGGTTGCCGTGCCAACCATCACCTGCATGTGAGCGCGAGTGAGTGAGTGAGTGAGTGAGTGAGTGAGTGAGTGTGTGTGTGTGAGTGAGTGAGTGAGTGAGTGAGTGAGTGAGTGAGTGAGTGAGTGAGTGAGTGAGTGAGTGAGTGAGTGAGTGAGTGAGTGAGTGTGTGAGTGAGTGAGTGTGTGTGTGTGTGTGAGAGTGAGTAAATATCCATGTATGTGAGTGCTTGTGTACATGCGTGCATCTTAGTGCATGTGGGTGTATTGTATGTAAAAGAATGTGAGAAATGTGCTAGTAATTGCATGTATGCATGCGTGTATAATCGCACATGCCTGTTTGCATGCGACATGAGCGGTGAGCTCGCGAGAATAAGGGTTCGTAGCACAGGGAGTGCAAGAGCACCACGTACAATGAGGAGGATTGTGAGGAACGGGATGGAGAGGAGGAGGACGCGGAAGATCATGCGCACAAGAGCACCAAAGGCCTCAAACGCGCGGAGAAAATACAGCACCTATCAAGCAGCCGATTGGGGATGGAGGGAAGCGAGTGGGTGTGGGTGAGTGGGCTGCTGATACAATAGTTGCCGAATGCACATTTGTCGAATGCACATTTGCCGAATGCACATTTGCACGTGTGTTTGTGTTGTATGTGCTCATTGCAGACACGCATGCACGACACACCCGTGCCATGCACACCCCGTGTGTGCACCATAGCACCGAATCCCCTTTGCTTGCACCTGAACACGCATTCAACCATGTTAAACGTCACCTGCATCCAGAGGAGCAGGCTTGTGATTCCGGCAACATCGGTGGTGTCGTCGTAGCCTGCAACGTACATGATGACGCTCATAATGGCCAGGACAGAGGAGGAGATTTGCAGCAGCGACCACCCGTCCGAGATCGTTGCCAGCACAAACGAAACACTCGAATGCGTCACCTGATGAATGGACCGTGTGTGCGTGTGTGGTGAGAAGAGATGGAGCTATCTTGCATTTACAGTGTGGATCCACGCGCAAGAAGGTGTTTCGCCGTGCAACAAACAATATGCCTTGCGGGCTACTTCTGGTGCGCTGCGGAATGGAATGTAAACAGGGCCGCGACTGAGACAAACAAAAAGCATGCACATGCACACAAACGCACACAAACGCTTGCACGCCCACGCATGTACGCATGTACGCATGTACGCATGTACACACGCACCTGCACCTGTCTGCGCTCACGGTAGAGCTGTCTGCAAGCCTGTGGAATGACAAGAATTGCCATTGCCAATGTGGCGATGCGCCGACTGCTGTATTGGTCCTCGTTTGCTGGGGTTGCAAGTGAAGGAGAAGATCATATGTGTGTTTGTATGTATGACGTGATGGTGATACTTTGATGAGATTGGGGTTCGTGAGAGTGTCCAACACATTGCACCATCGCTACCCCACATGACATGCCCATGCAAACGCACAAGCGAGGCCATGGTGACAATGAACACACACACACGCACACACGCACGCAACCATGAGTTGTCCAACCATAACATCCCAGTGTGACAGTTTGTAGTGGTGGGTGTGCTTAACAAACGTTGTGGGTCGCGCGCGATGCGGCCAATAAGGGCGCCAAAGGTGAAGAAGGTGAAGACAAAGGCGAAATAGATGAAGAGCTCCCGGAAGAACAGACGTCGCGCGTATGCATCCCATTTGAAGGCAAGTACCTGTGGCGGTGGAGAGGGTTTACGTGAATGCATACGTGAGTGCACACGTTGTGTAAGTGTATGTGTGAGTGAATGGATATGAATGTGAGAGGGTGTGTGTGTGTGCGTGAGAGAGAGGGTGTGTGTGTGTGTGTGCGTGAGAGAGAGACTGTGTGTGTCAGTGAGCTGATGTGAGTGTGAGGAAGAGCGGTTGGGTGCAACGGGGGAGCTGTACATGCCAACGTAAACACCACCAGCATCACCATCACCAGCATCACCATCACCAGCATCACCATCACCAGCATCACCATCACCACCACCACCACCACCAACAACAACAACAACAACAACAACAACAACAACAACAACAACACCAGCATCACCACCACCACCACCAACAACAACAACAACAACAACACCACCACCACCACCAACAACAACAAAACAACAACAACAACAACAACACCACCACCACCACCAACAACAACAACAACAACAACAACAACAACAACAACAACAACAACAACAACAACAACAACAACAACAACAACAACAACAACTCAGCTTCACCTTCTTCATGAGGACGTTTGAGAAGAGACGCGCATCGCCAGCCTCGAGGAAGCTGTGGAGAACAGAGTTGATCACCTGCTGCTTCGAGTACTTCTTACTCTCGTCCATCATCTCCCCGTTTATGGGCATGGGGCCCATGAATGACCGTCGGGGCGACTTTGAGCTGCCCAGCGAGCGCGACGCCAGCCGTTGGGGCGTTGAGAAGGACAGGAACCGGCTCTGCTTCTTCCTGCGGCTGCTCAGCGTCCGCCGCACCGTCACGCGCATGCCCACACCACGGCCCTCATCGCACGTGTACCCCTCGTCATCATCGTCGCTGTCGCTCTCCAGGTCGTGCATGGGGATGATGCCTGCAATCTCAGGGATGCTGATGTACGCCGCTGTGAGCCGCGAGGCTGCCTGCGCCTGAATCACGCTGCTGGGCATGAATACGCCAATCAGCCGCTGCCACAGCGTCTCCTGTCGCGTCGTCTCTTTGATGTTCCGCCACACGTCGGGGAGGTTGCGTGATGTGGAGCCTACGAGTGACATGCCCTTGTGCACCTCAAACCGCACCTGCACCTGGCTCGACGTCAGGCTCTCGTCCAGCCCAAACTCCTGTATGCAAATGTACGAGAGTGTGCAAGTATGAGTGCGACAGTGTGCAAGTATGAGTGCGACAGTGTGCATGTGTGCGTGCGACGGTGTGCGTATTTGCGTATCGGTGCATGTGTGTGTGTGAGTTTGTGTTTGTGAATACGGTCATTTCAATATGCCCTGAACCAACGCTGCAAACTCATCAGCGTTCGCATGTACATGTGCACATGTGCATGTGTGGGCTTGTGCAAAGGAGTACAACTGCTCGCCCACGTACGGACCCAACCAGATATCAGCAAAGTCGCGATGACTACACGTGAGGGCACCTGAAGAAACGTGGCGACAAGGTCCGAGAACGATTGTGACAGCCTGATGAGGTTCACGAGGAAGCGGTTGCAGGCGACGGGGAGTGGGCCCAGCTGACCAGCCCGCTTGGCATCCACCAACTTGTCGAGGAGCTGGTGTGTTGGTGGTGGTGACAATACAGGCAGAGGAGAGGAGCCCGTCGATGGTAAATACAGTGCAGGAGGGGCGGTGAGGAGGTGGCATGCGGAGAAGTGTGACAAATAGCTGAAAGGAGAGGAACATCACACACGCCAGATGCTCACATGCAGGCACACACGTGAGTCGGTTTCATAGCACGTGTACACACACACACACACACACACACACACACACACACACACACACACACACACACACACACACGCAAACACACGACTCGGTTTCACAATGCCTGTGCACGCACATACAACGGCACGCACACACGAACAGGTACAAGCGCACCCACCCCCACCCACACCCACCCACCACACACACACACACATACACACACGAGCTCCCGCACCAGCTTCGCGCAGACACGATCGTTGACGCGATGGGCAATGGTGAGCACATCGCTCCCATCCTCCGTCGCCGGCAGCCAGAACTTGGGCACGTCCGCCTGTAGCAACAGCGACAGCAGCCGCGAATCCTGCATATGAAAAAGAGAGAGAATGTGAGGGTCCAGTTGGCCTTGCTGTTGGGCATGCTGTATCAAAAAAACCACAAGTGCACGCACACACACACACACATTCGCACACACACACACACACACACACATACACACACGCACGCACGCACGCACGTCTGTTTTACTTTGTTTTCGACCGCTCGATGCATGATGGTGATGGCATGATCACCAGGAACGTTCACTGTCATCGGAAACTTGTCAATCATGTCCTACACAGTTTCAAGGTAGGCAGAAAGCGTGAACGAACCGTGGTAGACGGGAGATGAAATGTGTGACAAGCAAGCATAAGTCTGAGCGCCCCCGTCTTCCACGCTCAGTGACGCAGTACGACCACGCAAGCACATGTTCCCATGCAGACGCGAGCACAATACAAGCGAACATGCACACGCGCACACACACACACGCATGCACACACAAGTATGCACTTTCGTATTGCTAGCACCCACCTTGACGATGGCGTATTGGTTGACTTTGTCGTGCAGAATGAGATCCTGTGCCTCCTTGAAGGTTGGCTGCTGGTTGTACAGACTCATGTCTAGAAATACCAGCCGCCCAGTCGACAGACCTGCCAGCAGTAATGGTGGCGGTCGTGGTCATGGTCATGGTGGTGGTGATGGTGATGGTGATGGCCACATGAGCGACAACCTTTCATGTCAACATACAACGCCAGATGTCAAAACACACACCAACACACACACACACACACACACGCACACTGTCACACAGATTCACACACACACATACACACACACACGCATACTGTCACACAGATTCACACACATACACACACAGAGACAAACGTTGCAATGTGCTTGCAAAGCAGCCAAGTTGAAGTGCACCCGTGCTTGCTGTTACGCACCAAGAGCAACCATGCCCGTCATCGTGTAACCAGCGGGCACCCACAAAGAACTGAGGCAGCGATTGTAGAAACATCAATCAGAACAAATCAATGGGTGAATCAATCGTGTCACGATGACAAGGCAGAGAAGTGACAGCACACCACAATGGCACACCCCACCCGTTTTCACGCCCACAAACACAAACACGCACATGCACCGCGCGTGCACGCACCAGATGCATCCCTGACCTTTCAATGGGGTTATCCAGGCGTCGCTCGCGAACAGAAAACTTGTGCGAATCAAACTCGCTCTTCTCGTCTGTCATCACAAACACACACGCACACACAAGCATGAGGTCGAGGGTGGCAATGAGATGTATGTGGTATTTCAATGGAGCATGGGATGTGCGCATGTTATGCGCAGTTGTTGTGGGTGGTGAGGAAGGAAAGCACAACATCACAAATGCTCGCACCACCAGTACCACCAGCAACTCCACCAAACCACTTCTGTCGCACCAAACACAAATGCGTTGGAGTCGAGACCGCCTGTGATGAGCTGGTTCTCGGGCCCAAATGAAACCGTTCGCACGTGATCCGTGTGCTTCTCAAGGCGGTGCAGCTGGGAGCCTATGGACGAAGAACAGACATTGAACAACACGACGTGAGGCTACGTCAGCAGTTGCAACGCACCGCACTTACCAACGTGGTCGATCTTACAGCCACCGTCCCCCAACACGCACGCACACGCACACACATGCACACATTCACAAATACAAATCAACACACACACACACACCACGATAGTACAGCACACACACACCACCAACTACAACTACTTTGTGCTTGTACCTGATTTGGTATCGAGGATGACGCACGATTTGTCACGCGATCCTGACGCAACGTAGGATCCACATGACGAAAACGCAATCGTGTACACCTTCAGCCAGCATCATCAAGCAGGTGTAGGTTTGCACATGAGGGCGTGCGTATGTGTATGGTGTGTGCGCCTATGTGAGGAGTACATGCAAGCAAGCGAGTTGGCGAACGCCTTGAGCTACAACACCACCCACACATGTGGGCTTGTGTAACCAAGCAATGCGTGCTGGTTCCATGCGCACCTCCTTGGTGTGCGCCTCCGTGATCCATCTGTGCTCCTCCAGGTTTGTGTCGAAGGCGACAACGAGGCCTTCATCAAGGCCCATCACCACCAGCGACCGCCCAATGAGCTGCAGCGCAGCTGGGACGAGGAGACAACAACATGTTGAGGGGGGGGGGTAAGACCGTCGTGTTGGCAATCAGAATTGGCGTAGTAACAAGGTGTGCAAAGGTGTGCAATTGTGTCGGTGTTCCAGCAATGACCCCAAACAGAAGCATACGCGTGAGTTGACGGCGGATTTTGCTCGTGTGTGTATTCAAGCACACAGCACTTGCACCCACCCACACCCTCACACTCACACACGCACATACACACGCAAAACACAACCAGGCGTACTTGTATGGGCGTCTGGGCTGCGTTTGCCTGGAAAGGCGGCGATTGAGAGCGCGCTGCTGGAGAGCTCATATTGGGTGTCGCGGACGGCGAGAAGTTGTTCCAGCAGTCGCTCCTTCTCCTTCGCCTTCTCATCTACTCAGATATGATTGTTGTTGTTGTTGTTGTTGTTGTGTGAGTACGTGCATCTGTGAATCACAGCTTGTGCACAGTGTTTGAATGTAGAACGCCATGCGTGTGTGTGTGTGTGTATTGTTGTGCTATGCCCCAATAGCACACATACACACGCACATGCACACATACTCACACCGCGTGCACATTCCTGTCTTCACAAACGCCAACACACGCGCCTCATCTTCTTCCCCGTCACAGTTTCCCCACCCAACCGACCTGGTGACGGTGGAGTAGCCGAGTCGTCTCCAGGTGTTTGCGGTTTGTTCTGTGCCGCTGTATGGCTATTCCGCTTGGAGGAGGATGAGGAGGACGGGCGGTCCGTAAAGACACTGGATGACAATGGGTGTAGATTCACGCTCAAAATGCGAGGCGTCTCCGTGCACACAATCGCTTCCTCGCCTGCAGCGCACTCATGTCGTGTGAATGTATGTGAAGGCGTGTTGTGGTATGAGTGTGTGTGGTGTGTGTGTGGTGTGCGTGCCATCATGCTGGTTGCAATCCCTGATAGTGATGAGCAGTCACTACACCTGTGCTCGTGACGGTGCAGCACACGACGCTTGCTGGGCAGGTGATGGACTTGACCGTCTCGTATTTTCGCAGACACGTCAGCGTGATGGTCTGTAGTTCACGCACGTTTGCGCGTGTGCATTTGCAACAACCACAAGCACAAGTGTGCATATCGTAAGCACATGTTTGCATGCTGCATCGTGTTTGTGTTGTGTATGTGCCTGCCTCAACCGCGCTTCGACCAACAACACGACATTTACGCCCCGACACCCGCGGTCATGTTGATCACACACCTTGTCCTTTGACGAGGACAGGAGCTGGCGGCAAACACGGCAGAGAACGTGTGCACGTGTCAGTTAAGAGGATGAATAAGAGGATGAATGGGTTTGGAGCAAACCTGCTAACGTCACTCCTGCGCAACACAAACGATCCAGGACACACACACACACACACACACACACACACACACACACACACACACACACACACACACACGCAAACACACACGCACGCAAACACACACACACACACGCGCGCGCGCGCGCATGCACGCAAACACGTCCAGCTGGCACATGTGTGGGTGCGCGCACCATGACGCCGCCTGCAACAAAATTCAGACCAGTGACGGTCTTGGTGTGCGGTTTCAGCATCGCCGTCTTCTCGCCATCGCGCACGTTGAAGATCTGAATGTCTCCCAGCGATGACCCACTGGTGTGCGTGTGTGTGTGTGTGTGCGTGTGTGTGTGTGAACGTGATGAAACGGAATATGGCCACGCGTGATGAAAACGTTGGTGTCGAGCACACCACTCCCGCAACTGTGCATGCTGCTGGACTTAACCAGGCAAGATAAGGCCGCGTTGGGTGGAAAGCCATGACTGTAATGGACTGGTGGTGATGGAGCAAGACAGCGTAGGTGCAGGGTCGTGAGGGAGCGAAAGCGTGAGTGAGTGATTATGAGAGCGAGAAAGAGGAAGGGTGCAACTATTTCACAAGCAGACACGCAAATCACATACATTTGCATTCAGGTGTGCGCTTGTACACATGCACACAAACACACACCTTCTTGAAGAGGTCGAAGCTGAGGTGCGACGCAGGCGTGGTGTGGCCGACGACGTTGAAGGACGTGACGGTGGTGATGTCACCTGAGACACAACCAAACACGCGGTGCAGAAGGGGAGAAGGGTGGTGAAATCGCACTCACGTTTGTGACACGTGCTGTGTTTGTGTGTGTGTGTGTGCGCGCGTGTGTGTATGTGTTCGCATCTACGTCGCTCACTCGATGTGGTTGCGTCAAAGGATCCAACCAGGAACTGCATGCCGCCGCCGCTCTATCGCACATTAGCATTGCACTGATGTTGTGAGTTGGCTAGTTGCTGGAATACACGCGTACATGACACGTACACGAGCACACACACACACACACAAAACCAACAAGCACACATGCAAGCATGCATGCACAGGCCACATGATTGCACCTGCGACGCCTCAATGTCCTCTGGCCGGTGAATGACCTGCACCATCTTGCAGTGGTCGTGGGAGTTGCCCTTGTAGCAGTACACCTGCAACCATGACCCATGTACATACAGACGCAAATGCGATTATTGGTGCAAACGAGGGCAAATCACATCACGCGTGTGCAAGTGTGTGCGTGTGCCAGTGTGTGTTCGTGTGTGTCTGCGTTCCTGTGCTTGGAATGCCCCGCGTCATAGTTTCTTTTCCACGCACCGGTTGTCCGCTTTCACTGTCAAACACGTTGACGCATCCGTTCTTGGTGCTGCTCACAAAGAACTTGCCATCTGATCAAGTTCACATACATGCGCGAGTGATCCCGTGGTGTGGGAAAACTCGGTGGGGATGTTTGTGTGACGACTTTCATGCGGTATACACACGCACTTGCATCAGATGGAACGAAGACAAACTCATCGCGCACCCACTTACGTACGCACACACACACACAGACACACTGACACTTGCGTACACACACACACACAACACGCAACACGCATACACGCATACACGATACGCTCTCCTTCCGCTGCGTTGGTGTCATACTTTTGAAGAAGCGTACACTGCGCACGTAATCCGTGTGGACGGTGACCGTGTAAATGATCACTGCGCTCTGGGGATCAACCAGCCGCACCTGTACATGTGTTGCATGCAATGCGTTGTATGCAATGTGGTATATGAGCCCATACGCAGTACACATGAGCGTACATGTGCATGTGAAAGACATTGGCTGCTTGCTCGCGTCCCGATACAGTGCACAGTTCGCACACGTGCCAAGATGCGCCAACTCACCATTTTGTCATCAGAGCCAATGAGCAGGAATCGTCTGAGGATCAAGAGCATGTACACACGCACGCATGTCAGGGGTGGAATGCAAGTGGGGGAATGAACCAGAGGCGCCGTGTACACAATGTCGCCAACCAAGTGGGACACACGCATTGTCAAATGGACACTGCCCTGTCCCGACAAGGTGATACAGGCGATGGGTGATACCACAAGCATCGGCAGTCACACCCACCCGTTTGGTGCGTAGTCAAGGGCGTACACGCGTTCGCACTTGATTGTGTATCTGCATGTGAACAGCGGAGTGGGAGGAACTCAAAGTCAGTCATCGCACCACGAACTAGCGCACCGCAGAGGTGTTGTGGAAGATGATCCACGGTGCACGTGGCATGCGTCACCACCACCACCACCACCACAACAACAACAACAACAACAACAACAACAACAACAACAACAACAACAACAACAACAACAACAACAACAACAACAACAACAACAACAACAACAACAACAACAAAACAACAACAACAACAACAACAACAACAACAACAACAACAACAACAACAACAACAACTTGTTGGCGTACACGAGCTGGTCATCCTCGGGCCGCTTCAGGTCAAACACACGCGCACTCTTGTCCTTGCACCCTGCAGCATGAGTGCATGGAGGGTGGCGGATGCAGCACGCAGTCGCCGCAGATGTTTGTGACGGTAATGGATGTTTGTGACGATGATTGCGCCAACGCGAGCGTTGATGAAGCGTGAGAAGACAGCACCCACAACCACTTAAGCACCACACGCACGCCATCACACACACACACCCATCATCATCATCATCATCATCATCATCATCATCATCATCATCATCATCATCATCATCATCATCATCACACAAATACATACATACACACACACACACACACACACCTGTTGCGAGGTGGTGCCCCTTTGGGCTGAGGGCGACAGCAACCACCTCGTCACGGTGCGGCGCCTCCGCAACAAAGATGGGATGAAATGTCCACACGGACAGGAGCCACGCGCTGTGTTTGCTTGTGCCAATTGCAACCACCTGAAACGACGAAAGGGGGGAGGGATACGTGAGATGATGGGAGTGAAGAATGTGTGGGTGTGTGGGTGTGGGAATGATGCGCACTGGTCTAGCCCCTGACCCTAACCCGAATGAAGGCAGAGCAGCGCTACACGGAGATTTACAGAGCAGACCGTGCACGCGTACCTTGTTTCTGAAGCCAACCACCATGCACCGTGGCTTCACACCAATGTCTATGGCCGAGAGAACAGGAGGTGGTGCACGCGTGGACGGTTGAGGTGTGCAAGTGACGACGAGGATGATAATGATCGACAGGGGACGACAGGTATCCTGATATCAGACGACACACGCAATACATACACAAAAAAACAAAAACCAACAACACACACATGGAGCCCCCCCCCCCCACACACACACGCACGCACGCAGAGAGCAATTGGTCGCACCAAACTTGTCTGGTGCAGGGACGTGGACAGGCAAGCAGTGTCTGTTGCGGAGGGAGTGCCGTCGCGAGAGCTTGGTGACTGTGTCGGGGGTGGTGTCAAAGCGGAGGAGCGTGTATGCCTTGCTCTTGAGTACCACCAGCAGCACGCCACCGTCGTCAGAGAAGCACGCCTCCTGGATGGTCGCGGCGGCATCATCACTGATCTTCAGTGCAAGTGCTCCGCGCAGCTCGCCCGTGAAGCTGTCGAAGATGGACATGGTGGCATCGGCAAAAACCACGTAGATGTGGTTGTTGCCAAACCAGAACGCGGCCACCGGCGCCTGTGATACCGAATGCACAATTACCTGTCATCGGTATCCATACAGGTAGCGAGGTAAGATGAGGCGAGGTGAGCGCAAGGGAGGGGGGTATGGTGTCAGAGGAAAAGCACGACACGCACGTGCAGTGAGTGCTCCTCGTGTATGTGTGTGTGTGTGTGTGTGTGTGTGTGTGCGAGGAGTGGCCGTGGGCACGTGGCAGGGAGCACGCTTTTCAATCTTCCATGTGGCTGTGCACAGACCCGCGCAACCAATACCAGTCGGCACCACGGTGACACTCACTTGCTTGCACAGGCGGCGGTTCTTTTTGAAAGCATGCACAAACTTGGCATATGCATACGCCGCTTTCCAGTGGCGCCGCGCCCTCTCCCCTGATGCACGTTGTGTGCGTGTGCGTGCGTGTGCGTATGTGTGCGTGTGCGTGCGTGTGTGTGTGTGTGCGTGTGTGCGTGTGCGTGTGCGTGTGTGCGTGTGTGTGCATGAGAAGCGCCCGGTGTCCACGCGCTCATCGTGGATGGCGCAAACGAGTGAACGAGCAAGTACGCACCCACAACCCACCCTACACCCCATCACACACACACACACCTGGAAGATCTGTGTTGTTTCCCTTTTGCACTTCATACTGGTATCGATCGTATCGGATGGATCTGCGTTGGAAATGGGGTTGTGACACCACAGCACGTGTTGTCGGCACAATGTCACATACAAACACACACGCAGACATTCGTGCGACAGCACTTGCACACACACACACACACACACACACACACACACACACACACACACACACACACACACACACACACGCACACAGGTGACGGTACTTACACGCCGCGGTGCTGTTGCTGCTGATCCGTGGAATCCTTGACGCGCGCCTCCAGCAGATGCTCTGCCTGCGTCTTCCTGAACGTGTGCCCGCGAGCATGTACATGTGTGTTTACATGTGTGTGTGTGTGTGTGCGAAGCGATGGAACGATCGAATGCACTGATATGCACAATGTTCGGTGTGATTCGTGTGGAAGGACCACACTCTCACGTTTTGAAACGACAGAGCAGCCAGCCAAGGGAACGCTGTTACAACAACAACAACAACACACACACACACACACAACGTACTGTTCGTAAGCCGCGACACCGTCGAGGATTTCTTGCAGCAGGTATGGCTGCGTCTCAAAGCTGTTGGCCAGCTTTGTTGCCTTGTCCTTGCCTTCATCGCCGCCACTCATGGTGTGGCGCAGTGATGTCCGGTTGTCGCCTGCTTGCTTGTGTCCTCCCTCCCTCTTCCTTTTTGCTTGTTTGTTCGGTACGTTACTTCGTCAGCTGTTGCTGTGCGTGCTTGTTTCACACCGTCAGCATCAGCAGCATTACAACCCCTGTTGCTGCTGCTGCTCGTGCTGTTGTGCCTTGTGTGCTTGTCCTAGACCTTTTGCTGTTGTGGGGTTGCACGACAAGGACTACCTGCAAAAGACTACATTCCATTCAAGTGTCCACGAAAATTATGTGAAAATCCCGCGAATTATCCATAACGAAGTGCGTCTGCAAGCAGATGACGTTTCTGCGCTTCAGCTTTCCTTCGGTGCACCGAAGTGGCCCTTGAACGTTAGACCTGCACGCGCGAGCGTCACCGTTTGGATTCGAACGCGCACGAGCTACACGACGTTGTCGTCTTCTTCATCAACACACACACACACACACGCGCATTCGCACGTTTTCGTTTCCTGACGGTTGAGCGCAATCAAACCTAAACAAACGACACCCAACGGTTTTCCCCGGCAGTGTGACCGACATGAGTGGCGATAGGGCACGACCGCACGCGCGCCCAAAACCAAACCAAAACACAGCAGAGAGAAAAAAAAAAAAAACTGACTGCTGGTGATGTGGTGGTGTTGTTGTTTGAATGGAGCCTTCTCTTGCTTGCTTGGCGCACTCGCGTCATGGCCATAACCTGTCTGTGTCGCTTGCTGGCCGGCTTGCCTGCTCGTCATGGCCATTTCCCACGACAGCAGCATTCCAGCGACACCACCAACCAACAACAGCACAAACGTGTGCTTGCTTCTTCTTCCTTGCTTCTGCTTGTCTTGTTCTGGCTAGCTAGCTAGCTAGCTCGCTCGCACTCAGGCACTCAACCCTTGTTGGTTCATTTGTTCATTTACTCTTTCCATTCCACCTTCACAGCACCTCAACCACCCCAAAGCAACCTGCCGGTGTTGGTTTGTTTTCCCCCAGCCAACCATAGTTTGGGTGCAACAGTCCTCGTTCAGCGCAGCACGTGAAAGTGGTTCGTGCACATTATCTCTCGACTGTACACGAACACCACGAACACCCCAGCAGCACCACTCGTCTTCGACGGGTATCGTCCAGCATTTTCTCCACGAACCCATTTCGTGCCACCAGTCGCATAAACAGCAGCGGCAGCACACAACAGCAGATCTCCACCGCGACATGATGGACCATCAACACCACCAAGCACAGGCACAGCAGCGGCGGTGCAGCGGCGACGATCGCACAGACAGCAGCTGCTCTTCCTCGCCAACCTGGCCCATGTGGGCCACGGAGGAGACGGCAAACGGCCACGGGTCAGTCGCCAAGCGCATGGTGGCCCAGCGGCCGCCCTGGCACCGCAACTCTCCGCTCGCCTCCGTCTCTGGCAGCTGCGACTCGCTCCTCGCTGGCCAGGATGACGATGGCCGTTGCGTGCAGTCGCCCCCACCCATTGCGTCCGGCAGGACGCCCCACAGCAATGACGGCGGCGATGATGGCGACGATGGTGGCAACTACAACAGCGACCACGACGACATTGACGACTTTTCCGATGCCGATGCCGTGCGTGCAGTGCTCGGCGTTGCCAACACCAGCAACAACAACAGCGACAGCAACAGCAACAGGAGCAACAGCAACAGGCGCAACAGCGAGGACCATGACGGTGCCGGTGATGCCGGCTCTGTTGACTCACACGTGTACGAGGATGTGGAGGACGAGGACGAGGCAAGCGTGGGCACGGTGCCAAAGCTGCCACCGCGCATCTACCGCTGGAGCAAGGTGCGCAAAGACAGCGGTGTCTGTGTCGTGTCCGCAACCACGTCCGCGTCATCCTCTTCAGCCCAACTCGACATTCCCTCCCCAATCAAGGAGGCCTCCACATCAACCGCCACCAACGACGCAACAACAACAACAGCCACCAACACCACCGACACAACAACAACTGCGAGCAAGGACGAGGTCGCACCAGCGCAGGCGGCACTTGGCAAGCTGTTTCCCCAGCAAGGCAAGCACAAGCAGCTCCGGCGCCCGCTCACGCCGCCACAGCACCAGCCCATCATCGACGCCGCAGCTTCTCTCCCGTCGTCCCCGCTCGCGTCACGCCGCTCGTCCGTGCCGGAGGACCTGCAGCACTTCCAGCAGCACCACCTCCACCAGCAACAGCAGCCGCATCACCAGCAGCCGCAGCGGGCCCGGCGCGGGTCTGGCCCGTCTTCGGGTCCATCGTCGCGCGGGCGGTCGCCATCGATGTGGCAGCTGTTGTGGCAGCCCATCCAGCGGCTCTCACGCTCCCGCTCCCGCTCGCCGCACCCGGCCGAGGCCAGGCCAAAGGGCAAGGGCAAGGGCAAGAGTGGCAACACGAAGAAGCACAAGCGAGGCAAGGCAAGCAGAGGTGGCAGCGGCAGCGGCAGCAACACCCCGCCCGTGGTGGTGAGCAAGGCAGATGCAAAGCGCGGCTATGCCGTGCCGCAGGATGCAGTGCTCGCGCCACGCGACGGCGTCGACTACAGCAGCGTGGACAACAGCAGATGCACAAGCGCATGCAGCAGCGTCAGCAGCACGGGGACGAGTGTGAGCGGGCTGGACACGTTTGACCGGGAGGCGGCGCTGCGGTCGCCAGAATACGCGCTGGTGCCGGAGGAAGCAGACGGAACGGTGCACGAGCTGCCACGCCACCGTGACGGCGACGACAATGACGACGCCTTTGATGGTGATGGTGATGATGATGATGATGATGATGGTACGGAGGTTGGGGATAGTGAGAGTGGTAACGACTGCAGCAGCGCGTGTGGGGACGATGCCAGCATTGCCACACTGCAGCCACCACAGCACGACAGCCGTGGCACGGACAGCGACGACGTGCAAGCGCAGCAGCACGAGCAGCAAGAGCAGCAAGAGCACGAGCAGCAAGAGCAGCAGGGGCATAAGGAGGTTAACAGCGCAGAGCAGTGCAGTGAAGAGGCAAGCAGCAACGACGTCGACAGCTTGGTGGAAGGGCGAGAGGTCAACTGCGGTGGCGTCGTCGTCACATACCACGCCGTGCCCAGTGTGCAGCAGTGCACCCACTGCAACACGACGGACAGCCTGCTGTCCTCCTTTGGCGGCAACACGCAGCACCAGGAGGCGCAGGCCCTGCTTGACCGCATCTACACGCAGATTCCCTCGCGCCAGGAGCGGAGCCAGACCACGGCTGCCACGGGTGCAGTGACGCCAGACAAGAGCGTTGGCGGCTGGCTCAAGAACAACATGCTTCGCCGCAACAACAACGGCAACGGCAACGGCAACACCAGCAAGCAGCAGGTTGCAGCTGCGCAGCTTGTGCGCGTTGGCGTGCCAACCCAACCCATCGACGACGGTGCTGACAGCAACAAGGCAACAGACACGGCAAGCGACTGCAAAGGAAGCGGCGTCAGTCTTGTGTCTTACGACAACAACGACCTGTGTGCTGAGGTGTGCTATGCCATGGCAGACCCACCGCAGCACCCGCTTCGCCGTGGCGTGCATGGTGTCCGTGGCTCCGAGCAGGAGCTGGACAGCGATGAGGACAGCGAGCGCTACGACGAGCTGAGCGACTTGAGGAAGAGCGTGGTGTATGCAGAGGTGAACAAAGCGGGGCGCGGCAAGCATGCACGACACGTGTCAGCCACCCCATCGGAGTTGAGTGTTCGTAGTGACGGCTACGCTACTGTTGGGCCTTCCACCTCCGGCAGCGTTCGGAGCGGCCGATGGCAGTAGAGATTGTGTGAAGGCGTACCTGATCGCCTGACCGACTTGCTTACAATATTATTCATGCGCATGCGTGTGTGCGGGGAGGGAGAGAGATGAATCGCGGCACACCTTCCTCGTTTCGTTCCTTTCGTCTTACCACTTTCTTTGCTTGCCTAATTAAAGAATCGACATTTGGTGAATATTTTGCCACAGAAATCCGCACTTTCTCTGCCTTGCGTTCTGCAAGCAACAACCAATCTCACACCACTGACCGAAACAACCACCAAACGCAACCCCCTTCCCCCACGCTCCATCGTCATGGCGCTGTATCCGCCAATCCAGCCCTTCATGTCAGACTACCTTCAGGTGTGTGGCGCTTGGTGACAGTGATGGGCTGCATGTGTGTTGACATGCATACACTTGGTTGCACGCGAACCATCGCTTCAAGAGGTGAAGTGAGACCACACTGCTCACGGTCCTCAATTTCCTTCCGATCTTTGGCTGACTTCCTCCCTCTGTCTCTGTCTCTGTCTCTCTCTCTCTGTCTCTGTCTCTCTCTGTCTCTCTGTCTCTCTCTCTGTCTCTGTCTCTGTCTCTGTCTCTCGTCGTGTTATTGTGTGATAGGTGTCTGACATCCACACCCTGTACTACGAGCAGTGCGGCAACCCCGATGGCTACCCCGTTGTGTTCCTGTACGAGATTCCTGTGTGTGTGTGCGGTTTTCACCGCACGTTGGCTCATCATGTGCATGATGTGCATGTTCTGTGGCTGTGCTGTGTGGTCACAATTCATCGTCTCACACCCCCCCATGCGCTCTCTGGCATCTCCAACAACCCGTAGTCATGGAGGACCTGGCGGCGGCTGCCGCGAGAACGATCGCAGGTCCGCACGATCAGTGCTTGCTCGCTTGTCTTTGTGCTGTGCTGTGTTATGTTGCATTGTGTTGTATTGTGTTGTATTGTGTTGCATTGTGTTGTATTGTGTTGCATTGTGTTGTATTGTGTTGTATTGTGTTGTCTTTGTGTTGTGTTGTGTTGTTTTGTGTGATGGCTCATCAACCAGCGCACATTGACGAGAAACCCCTCACATGAACATGGATGCATGGGTGGATGAATGACTGTGCGCGGCGCTCTGTGTGTGTGTGTGTGTGTGTGTGTGTGTGTGTGTGTGTGTGTGTGTGTGTGTTGTCATTCACAGGTTCTTTGATCCCGCGTTCTTCCGCGTCATCCTGTTTGACCAGCGTGGTGCTGGTCGCTCCAAGCCCCACGCCTGCCTTGAGGTGTGTATGTATGTATGTGTGTGTGTGTGTGTGTGCTTTCAAAGTCGGGTCAACACTGTGACCTCGACCTTACCATGCACGAGTTCACTGCCCGCGATGATCCCCACCGCCCATGCTCATTGCATGTGTGTCTCCTCTCATGTGCAAACTGCTGTCGCCGTTGCGTGCACCACCAGGACAACACGACGTGGCATCTCGTCGCCGACATTGAGAAGCTGCGCGAACACCTCGGCATTGACAAGTGGGCCGTGTTCGGCGGCAGCTGGGGTCAGTCCCAGATTATGCTCCCGTGCGCCGTCATTGTGGGTGCCTTCTTGTGGGTGCTTTGCTCGTGTGTATGTGTTCAAATTCGCTCGTGCGTTGTGGCATTGCCGATTCCTCTGCCTGCGACCAACCGCACAAAGAAACACAGGATACTATGCTGCGCGGGCCCTCCTACTCACCGTGCCACCACCTCCTCCTCGCTCACCTGAACACCGCAATGGCAGGCTCGACGCTTGCGCTGTCGTATTCGCAGACGCACCCCGACCGCGTGACGGCCCTCATTCTTCGCGGCATCTTCACCCTCCGCCGCAAGGAGCTCCTCTGGTTCTACCAGGTCTGTTTATGCGTTGTCTGTTTGTGTGTGTGAGTGAGTGAGTGTGTGAGTGTGTGTGTTGTGCTTGTGGGTGTTCTTTGTTGTGTCGTCTTGTCTGAGTGTTCGTTGTGTGTGTGTGTGTGTGTGCGTGTGTGTGCGTGTGTGTGCATTTGTGTTGTGTACCGCTTGGTCCTTTCGTGTTCACCGTCCACTGCTGACTGTTATGTGACTGCCTGCATTGCACTCGTCTGCATCTCCATAGGAGGGAGCGAGCCACATCATGCCAGACTACTGGGACGAGTATCTCGCACCCATTCCCGTCGAGGAGCGCGGCGACCTCATGAGTCAGTCAGCAACCAGAACACAAACAAACAAGAATGCTCAAGATGTGCATGCCCAGACACTCGCGCATGTACACATGCATATCACGTCCACATGTTCACGCTACATGCATGCTCACATGTTCATGTCGTCCAATTGCTCGCTTCGTCCTCACCCGTGTTGTTCTCTCTTCCCATGGTCGTTGCAGGCGCGTACTACAAGCGCCTCACAGGTGCAAACACAGCAGAGAAGCTGCAGTGCGCCAAGGTAGGGCGGCGGTTGTTTTGACTGTACTTGCGCAACCGCCACTCCATTGCAGTGGTGTCAACGTACATGCACACACACATGTTCACACATGCAGCAATCGCACTTTGAATTGCACACAACACAACACGCAACACACACAACACACCATGGCGGCCAGGCATGGAGCACGTGGGAGTGTGCAACGGCAAAGCTGTATGTGGACCCCGAGAACGTCAAGCGCGGCTCCGACCCGGAATGGGCCCTGGCATTCGCCCGCATCGAGTGGTCAGCAACGCAGCGGCAATCGTGTCGCTCCTAATGTCCTTTGTGTGCATGTGTGTGTGCATGTGCGTGTGTGTGTTTGCACTTGCGTGAGTGTGCCTTTGTGTTGATGCATGTGTACAGACGATGCACACTTACCCGATTTTGTCGTGCATTCGCCTACGATCGAGCACCTTTCACCACGACCAAACTCCCGCCCCCCCCCCAACGCCACACTCACATCGTAACCCCTCCTTCCACCATCACCACCATCAGCCACTACTTTGTGAACGGCGGCTTCTTCCACTACGATGGGCAGCTCATCTCCGAGAGCCACAAGATCCGCCACATCCCCACCACTATCGTCCAGGTGCCGTGACATGACATGACATTACGTGCCATGACGTGACATGATGTAGACTTCCACCGCGTTTTTGAAGCCGGCTCTCGTGCCCATAGTCGAGGGTCATGCCAAGGGCGTTTCGGCATGCCACGCCGTCTCATCACCCCCGCCCCACATCCTTGTCGCCACACCGCGTCCACTCCTGTGTCCACTTGTGTGCTACACCTTCGCCAGGGCCGGTACGACCTGGTGTGCCCCATGCGGACCTGCTGGGACCTCCACAAGAAGTTTCCCGAGGCTGACGTCATCATTGTCGACGATAACGGCCACGCGAGCTCGGAGCCGGGCATCCAGCGCGAGCTGGTTGGCGCATGTGATCGCCTGCGTGACGACCTCACCCAGACCATGCAGCGGCTCTCGCTCTCGCCCCACCTCAAGCTCGCCTCCCGCCTGCAGGTGCCGTGCACATGCGTGCTGCTTGAGCGGCTGTTGTGGGATTGTTGAGCGACTGTTGTGGGATTGTGGTGGTTGCATGTACGCTGCTGTGACCTTTGGCTCCACCCCCCACCAGATGCACGCCCTCCCCTCACCTCCACCCTCCACACCACATCGCTCACCTCCATCTGTGTTCCAGACGGCTGCGGAGTCGATGCTTCGCCCGGTGTCTGGTTCCCCCTACAGCACCGCCCCCTGCACGCCCAGCACCGCCGCAACACACGCGCACGGCCGCGATGTTGGCGGTACGTACATGCCACAGCAGCAGCAGCAGCAGCAACAGCAGCAATCGTCGTCGTCCCTGTCAAGCACGGTGCGCAGCGAGCAGACGAGTGCACCGGGAACACCGCGTCGCTCAAGCGCAGAGGCAGAGAGCCCACGTACGTGCGCATGCAGCTCCAAGGACGAGGGCTTGGAGAGAGAGAGGAAGAGGGAGAGGGGGAGGTTTTTGGAGTGTATCTTGATGGGTGTGTGTGTGTGTGTGCGCGCGTTTGTGTGATTGCTGGCTGATTGCTGTCATTGCCTTCAAGCTTTTCGACGTCTCCTCTCGCTGGGTTGCTTTCACTCTGACACCCCCCCCACACACACTTTGTCGTTGCAGGCCTGAACAATGTGCTGCACAAGCGACCCTTGCAGCCTCCTGGTGGGTATTCCCACAACATCTTCGGCTGATGCTGTTCCAACCCCATCATCCGCACACTCGCACACACACACACACACAAGCACGCGGTGATGTCATCATCTCGTGCAGTTGTCCCGGCAGTTCACAGACGTGTGTGTGTGTGTGCATATGTGTGTACGTTTTTTGAGGGGGTTTCCTTCCGTTGTGTGTGCGGTGTTGTGCCGTCGCTCGGTTGTTTCTGTTTTGTTTCGTGTTGCTGTTGTGCCAGCTGACGTGGGCTGCTTCGGTGTTACAATGAAACACACATCGAATTGCCAGTTGCACGCTCGCCTGCCTTTCCACCGACCGGGTGTGGTCACACAACGATAGTACAACCACAACAACCACGCACGCGCAGTCACATCACCATCATCCATGCACTCGTGACACGACAGGCGCGCGCACACACACACACAGACAGACAGACAGACAGGCAAACAGACACACACACACACACACACACACACACACACACAGACAGACAGACAGACACACACACACACACAAAACACACACACACAAAACACACAAAAACACACCAAGGTGTCCTCATATCATAGACTGGCCTTGACCAGCATGCCGCCATCGACGGGGATGACAGCACCGGTGATGTACGCGCCAGCACGGGAGCAGAGCAGCAACGTCACGCCCGCCATATCTGCCGGTCGGCCAACGCGGTGCATGGGTACGGCACTCACCACCTCGTCCCCAAGCTGTTCCAGTAGGGCTTTGGTCATCTTGGATGGAAAGGGCCCTGGGGCAATTGCGTTGATGCAGATGTGATCTTCGGCCAGCTTGGATGCCAGCACGCGCGTCATGTGGTGAATGGCGGCCTTGCTTGCGGCATAGCTGTATGTGTCTGTCAGCGAGACCCCAATCCCTGTGATGGAGCCCACGTTGATGATGGAGGCGGGCGCCGCCTCCGTTGCGGCGGCCTTGAGCAGCGGCAGGAACAGCTGGACAAGCCGAAACGCCGCCTTCACATTCAAGTTGAGCAGCTTGTCCCAGGCAGACTCCGGGTGCGTCTCCAGCGCTTCTCCCCAAGTGGCGCCGGCGTTGTTCACCAGGATGTGCAGCCGGGGCTCGCCCGTCCTCTGAAAGGCAGCAAACAGGGCACCGCAGCCATCGAAGCTGGACAGGTCTGCTGGCAGCGGGTGACAGGATCCCCGCGCCGTTGCTCTTCTTGCTGTGACTGTTGTTGTTGTTGTTGTTGCTGTTCTTGTGCTGGCAGGGGTTGTTCTTGCTGTTGTTGTTGCTGGTGTGCACTGGCATGCGGCGTCTCGCTCCTGTTGGTCTTGTTCCGCAAGTAGCCTGCACCGCTCGTTCACATACTTGGCAAACTTGGTGCAAGCGTCTGCTTTTCGCGAGCTCACATACACCTACGCCAGTGTGCAGCAGGATGCGCATGTCAAAACAAGTGCTTGTGCAACAACCAAAAGGAGGATGGGGCAGAGTGAGAGATGGAGATAGATGGTCGGATGGAGAGGGAGGGAGGGAGAGAGATAGATGGACGGATAGAGAGAGATAGAGAGAGCAGTAACTTGATACACACACAGACACACACACACAGACACACACACAGACACAGACACAGACACACACACACACACACACACACACACACACACACACACACACACACACACACACACACACAGAGCTGTGCCTTGCCTTTGCGCCGTTGACAGCGAGGGCTTCTGCGATCATTGCGCCAATGCCACGCGATCCGCCCGTGACTAGCGCTACTTTGCCACGCACATCAAACAGGTCTTGTGTTCGCAACCCACGGCCTCCATCGCGCTCGCGCTCATCCCCCATCATCGTCAGTGACACGACACCATGAAAAGTAGCCAGACGGTTATTTTCGTCCCGCATCCACGTGTTTGTTTTGTTGGTGAGTTTGCGGCACTGACAGACCAAGCGTCAGTGCGAGTGTGAGTGTGCAAGTGCTCCGACGCTTCTTTGTGTTTGTTTGTTCCCTCTCTCGCACTCTCTTGCTTCGTCCCCCCCCCTCACTCACCTCTTGCTTTGCTTTGCTTCGCTCACAGCACATCGCACACTATTGGCTCACCCCCTCCCTTCTTTGTTCTCCCCTCCCGACTTGCCTTGCCCTACTATTTTTACGGTTCTGTTAGCTAGTCATAGGTAGCTCGCTGTTGACCAGCCCCTTCCACCCCAGTCCTCCTCCGCGTCTTCGCCAGCCACTACAACACCACACGGATCGATACACACACACACACACACACACACACACACACACACACACACACACACACATAATAGACAGCAACTACAGAGCAGGGAAATTGCCGACATCCATAGAGACGCATCCAGACAAAACGCATCATGAGTGACACCGCAACAGCAATGAGCAACAAGAACGCTGGCGATGACCAGCCGCCAGCCAAGCAGGCCAAGGTCACGGCTGCACCCGCCAACGACGCCAACGATGCTGCCATGCCGGACATCCGCGTGGCCATCGTCGGCGTTGGCAACTGCGCCAAGTCGCTGGTTGAGGGCGTTCAGTACTACGTGGAGAACCCACACGACCAGGTCGGCCTCATGTATCCCGACATTGGCGGCTACACGGCCAAGCACCTCAAGTTTGTGGTCGGCTTTGACATTGATGAGCGCAAGTGCGGCAGGTCCCTGGCAGAGGCGCTGCGCGCCAAGCCCAACTGCGCCATGGACCACGTGCCGGAGATAACAGAGACCAGCGTGCCAGCTGCTGCGCGCGTGCACCGTGGACCAACGCTCGACGGCATCGCTCCGCACATGACGCAGTACCCGGTTGATACCACCTTCAAGGAGAGTGGCGACAAGCCCGTCACGTTGGACGAGGCCACGGAGATTCTGCAGCGCGAGAAGGTGGACGTGGTCATCAACTACCTGCCCGTCGGCTCACACGAGGCGTCTGCGTTTTACGTCGACGCGGCCGTGCGCGCGCGCTGCCACTTTGTCAACTGCATCCCGACCTTCATCTCCACCAAGGAGGCCAAGGCGCTGGAGCAGCGGTTCATTGACGCGGGCCTCACCATTGTGGGCTCGGACATGCGGTCTGCGTGGGGCGCGTCGCGCGTGAGCGAGGTGCTGCAGGGCGCCATGCTCGACTCTGGGCTCATGGTCACGCAGCACATCCAGATGAACATGGCGGCCGGCACCACGCAGGGCCACGAGACGCAGCGCACGGGGCGCACCGCAAACACGGACTTCCTGAACATGGCCAAGCAGGACCGATTGCACTCCAAGCACGTCTCCAAGGAGAATGTGCTCAAGGGCCAGAACGTGGTGCGCGACACAAGCACGGCGGGCATGACGCTCTTTGCGGGGCCCTCCCTCACCGTGCAGCAGAAACCAGGTGGCACGTACCTTGGCTCCGACAACAAGGTTGCCAACTTTGACATTGTTGCGTATGGGTTTGGCGGCGCGCGGTACGAGCTGACCGCCCGCCTCTCTGTGCAGGACTCGCCCAACAGCGGCGGTGTTGTGGTCTCTGCCATTCGCTTCTGCAAGGTGGCTGCCGAGCTGGGTATCGTTGGCTTCCTGCGTGGTGCATCCGCGTGGACGCAGAAGACGCCGCCGCTGCAGATGCGCACGGGTGACGCAAAGTTTGAGTGCGACGCGCTGTCCCGCCGTCAGCTCACGGACCTCACACGTGCGCAGCTGAAGGAGAACACGCCCGTTGCAGACACCCTTCCATACACGTTCCAGTCGGACACCCTCGACTACGAGTGACGCGCGCATACGCATGTGTGCGCATGTGTGCGTGTGTGCGTGCGTGTGTGCGTGCGTGTGTGCGTGCGTGTGTGTGTGTGTGTTTGGTGAATTGGCTGCGCGAGGTCGGGGCTTTATGTGTTGACTCAATCAATTGTGGAATTGAGACGCGTGGACTGTCCTGACTGGTCATACACTTGCCTTCCATCATGTCAGTCTTCACTGGTTCTAGTTCGTTCATTCTCTTGGTTTGTGTTTGTGCTTTCTTTCTCTTCTTCCTCCACGCCCACCACATCTTCTTCTTTCGTGTGTTTGCGTTATCATCGAAGCAATACAAACGCTGCCGCTGTCCAATGAATGATACTGAGCATGACAATCCCGAGCAATAGCACACAGACACACACACTCTCTCAACAACGTGCCATCAATACGCCAACAGCACACACGTCTAACGTGCGCGGACGCAGTGACCACAGATGTGCACAAAGACAACACACACACACACACACACACACAGAGAGCTGCTGTTCACGGTGCACTGATATGGGAAGGGATCACTCGTCGTCAGATTCGCTCGACAGCACTACTTCATCGCTCTGCAGATGCACGCACGCACAACATGATTTGGGCTGGAGTGAGAAGGGGCAGTTCGGGTGAAGCGTAAAACCAAACACACACACACACCACATACTACACACGTGTTTGATACCGTCTCCTCCTCTTCCTCTGTATCCTTTTCATTGTAATGATGTTCTCACCTTGAACTTGAGGGTGCTCTGCCCCTTGGCGGGCGCCTTGCTCGTCTTGGACTTCTTTGCCTTGGACTTGGTCCCTTTTGCCGACCGCTTCTTGCTCCCCGCATTGTCACCATCACCGTCGCCGTCGTCATCAGCGTCGTTCTTTGCCTTGTACTCCGCCATCTCGGCCTCATACCGTTTCTGAAGTGGAGGTGAAGGGCGGAGGAGGAGCAGGGAGCGTGTGTGTTCGTGTGTGAATGCAACCGTGTGAATGTGTGTGTGTGTGTGTGTGTGTGTGTGTGTGTGTGTGTGTGTGTGTGTGTGTGTGTGTGTGTGTGTGTGTGTGCGTGCGCATGTCACGGCAGAGGCAGGCAGAGCACCATTGATGGCCAAAACAAAATTACCTTGTCCTCGGCAGCCATTTTCTCATATTTCTTCTTCTCTTCGTCGCTCAATCCACGCCACAGCTGTCGGTGAACACATGCATGCATGTATGGGATGAGAATTTGCAACACGAAAAAAGCGTATGCAAATCACCCCACAGACACACAGACACACAGACACACAGACACACACACAGACATACACAGACACACAAACAGACAGGCACACACACACACACACACACACACAGACACGCAGACACACACACACACACACACACACACACACAGAAAATGTGCTCACCGTTCCGCACTCCTGGGAGATTTGGCCGAGGGTGAGGTCTGGCTTTTCCTCCTTGATCTTTTCGCGCATCTCCGTGGAAAAGTAAATGTAGGCGGACTTGGCGCCCTTTGGCGCATTCGGGTCCTTCTGCTCGCGTCACATGGGTCATGTGCATGTGTCATGTGCATGGGGGTTGGTTAGGTGAGGTGCAAGACGACAGATTGGAAGAGAGGGCAACAGTTTGCATGTGTGGACATGTGCATGTGAGATTGGCGTTTGCACCTTCTTGCGCATCTTCTTGGCGGGTTTGGCGCTGTGGGAAAACGAAACAAAAGCAAAAAGCAGGCGGCGGGAGTCGGTGAATTGTCGTGAAACGCGAGCATCGCACTGAGTTCCAGTCAAGTCAAGTCAAGTCAAGTCAAGTCAAGCCAACCAACCAAACAGCCAACCAACCAACCAAACAGCCAACCAACCAACCAAACGAACAAAGCACCAATACACAAACCAAACCACAACGTACGCGTCTGGGTTTTCGGCATCAAACTTCTTCTTCTCCTTGAGATAGCGCTGCCTGTCCTCCTTTGCCTTCTCGTTCCACTCCGCCTTGTCCTCGTCTGCCAGGTCCTGCCACGCCTGTCCGAGCTTCTTGCTCAGCTCTCCAAACGACAGATCAGGGTGTTGCTCCTAATCACAGTCATGTGGCGGGAAGCGGTGATGACACGTGTGTAAGTGTGTGTGTGTGTGTGTGTGTGCGTGCGTGCGTGTGCGTGTGTGTGTGTGTGTGTGTGTGGGTGTGGGTGTGGGTGTGGGTGTGGGTGGGTGCGTGTGTGTGGGTGGGTGCATGTGTTGACAAGAGAGACAGCAGAGAAGGCGACGTACGCAGTGACCGTGCCCCACCAGCAGCAACACTGCAGATACAGAAAACAATGCGGTTCCCTGCCTCTCCCCCATTATACACGTGCGCACACCTTGAGCTTGGAGCGGGCGGATGAGGACCAGAGCGCATATGCCGTCTTGGCCTTCTTGGGGCCACGCTTTGCCGCACTCGCCTGTCATCGGGATCGGTGGTAGCATGGCGTGGTGTGGATTGCGGGTTGAGCATTGTTATGTGTTTGAGGGTTGAGGACGATCAGTTCGATGGTGTAAGGACGTTACAAAGCGCATGGATTGCATGTTGTGTGTGTGTGTACGTGTGTGTGTGTATGTGTATGTGTGTGTGTCTGTGTGTGTATGTGTGTGTGTCTGTGTGTGTGTGCATGCTGCTCACCTTCTGCGTCTTCTTCTTACTCTTCACGGGCTTGTCCTCCACGATAATATCATCCTCATCCTCATCCTCATCCTCATCCTCGTCATCGTCGTCATCCTCCTCGTCGTCGTCGCGCTGTTTCGACTGCCGGCTCTTTGATGCGCGCTTCTTCTTCGCCGGCGCCTGCCCGAGCATGTCGTCCTGAACGTGCGGGGCGGGAACGCGCAGGGGAGAGGGGACCGTGTAAGAGTGAGTGAAACGGTGCGTGTGTGTCGTGTGTGGGTGTGTGTGAGTGTATGTGTGCATGTGTAGCCAAGAGCGTTGAGGGGATGCATGCCCCTGTGAGGTGATGGGAAGGGACTATGGAGGGAACGCGTTGCACAGCTCATGTATCGCACCTCAACAAGTTCGTCCTGCAGCTGCTCGTCCTCTTCAGAGTCCATCGACGATTCCCTGTGCATCCACAGGAGTGATGTGATCATGAGCGCTGCACGCACGCACGCACGCCAACTTGCCACACACGCATATAAAGACAGGGCATTGTTTGATTGCTTGACTCACTCGACATCATCCTCGGCAAAGGAGTGATCTGACTCCGAAGACCCGTCATCAAAGTCGCCGGGACGAACAACGTGATCTTCGTCCTCGGACGAATCAAAGCCGTCATCGTCGCCGGCAGCGGCCTGAACACACATGCACGAAGCACAGCAGTGGCGGTGGTGACGTTGGATGTGAGAGAACCACAGCATCCAATCCAGCAAAAGTATTGTGGCTCACCAACACACACACATACACAACACAATGTGTAAGCACAAAGAACCCGTACGATACACGCAATACGAACACACACGCACACACACACACACACACACTGTATACAGCCCCATACAGCGGCCACTGACCGGGGCTTCGTCGAGGCCTTCGATGGCGACGCGTTTGAGCCGCAGGAAATCAATCAGCGGCTGCAATTCGTCCTGCCCGAGTCCGCGGAATTCAAATTCGCCGCGCTCGGGATGCAGCAGCTGAATGAATGAATGAATGAATGAATGAATGTGTGTGTGTGCGTGTGTGTGTGTGTGTGTGTGTGTGTGTGTGTGTGTGTGTGTGTGTGTGTGTGTGTGTGTGTGCGTGTGTGTGTGTGTGTGTGTGTGTGTGTGTGAACGAGAAACGAGGGGGATGTGATGGTGAGCCAGAAAACACAAAACGGGAACACCCTAACGGCCATGGTCACGTGCATTGCGTGCATTGCGTGCTTGTTACCCGCATGTCGAACGATTTCGTGTCGCGGCTCGACGACTCCTTGACGCGATCAAACGTCACACGCAGGTTCTGTAGTGATGGTGAAGATGGCGGTGATGGCGGTGATGGTAAAGGCGGTGAATGTGGTGTGAAAAGATGATCCAGGAACAACGAACCCCAAAGGACTGCAGTACAGGTGCGCTGCAGAGTGATGCATTGCAATGCTTCATGCCATGCGTGTGTGTGTGTGGGGGGGGGTGCGTTTGAACGTACGCGGACAATGGAGATGTGGAGGAGCGGTTTGTGGAGGAACAGGAATCCGCGATCGAGCGGGTACAGCGTGCCGCGGTTGGCCTGTTACACAGCAGCGACAGTGACGACGATGTGTGGTGGCGCGTGGAAAAAGGGAGTGAGAGAGGGACGGAGAAAGAGAGCAGGACACACACACACACACACACACACACACACACACACACACACACACACACACACACACACACACACACACACACACAACGTGCGCACCTTGTATGTGCAGTTGACGGCAGCAAAACCCTCAGAGGAGGTGAAGGATCCTGGTGTAATAATCTGTGGCACACGCAACGTGACCAAGCACGCATGGACGTGAGAACAGATTGCGAAATGAACAGCGTTAGCTGTACCAGCAGACAGAGGGAGTCAAACAGCCAGACGCAACACACAACACACACACCTTGCGCTTTGTGAGGGCCTTGAGGAGGCGGGAGAGAATGCTGGCGAGAGGGCCGGTCTCTGTCACCTCGGCCTGATCGGCAGGAACTGGTGGTGTGGAATTGGGCGGTGCAATCAGCGGTGTGATGGAAGGGCGCACACAGGAGCATGCAACTTTCTCAACACACACACACACAAGCACAATCAAGCACAATCACTCATTCACGCACGCACACACGTCGTACAAAAACAAACATGCCATACACACAAACAAACACGTCATACACAATCATTCACACACACACACACACACTTGATTCGGTGAGGTAGGAGAGGGAGGAGCGAACTTCGTCGCTGGTGACGTTGACAACAACATCAGCGCCCTCGTGCTCGCGTGTAAACTGGAGCAGCACATGCGGGTAGCGCGTCTGGCCATGACGCAATGGCGGGTCAACAGCGAGAACAATGTACTCGCCGTCGTCCGGTCTCGGCAGGAGGTAGATGTGCGAGATGTAATCGTAGAAGAGGCGGTGGTCGTACGTGGACCCGCGCAGCTGCATAAACGATGGATACAGCTGTGCACATGCAAGGCAACCGCGTCAAGGCAGCCGGTGTGAAACACCAAACAAGGGCGGGAGAAGACAAGGTGTGTGTGTGTGTGTGTGTTGGTTGGTGAGATGGCTCAGTGTGTACAAAGGAATTTGCAGTGTTGTGAGAGTATGTGTCATCCGCATTCGTGCGTACCTCAACGTCGAAGCGGCCACGTGGCACGAGAAAGGAGAGCTTGCCAATGGTGCAGATGGCACGGCTCGTGTACTGAGAAAGACAAGGAAGGTGGGGAGGAATGTTGAGAAACGCAGAACACAAGCCGCAAAGGGTGAGTGTGAGGTGTTGTGGTTTGACTCAATCGGAAGTCATACGCACACGCATGACCAGTGGTGATGATGACGACGGTGATTGTTGCGGTGTGCACAGGATACCTCGGCGATGCTGGCGCGGGCTTTCACGTTCTCCACAAACTCCTCTGTCTTGGCATATTGCTCCTGCACAGCAATAACAACCGCAGCGTGAAGTGAGGATTCGTTCAGTGCAAGTCAAGCTGCACTGTGAAGCAAATCAACAGTAGCACACGTATATAAATATGGATGCAGGCACACACACAGTTACAGACAGACAGACAGACAGACAGACAGACACACACACACACGCGCGCGCACACAGTTACACAGACACACAGACACACAGACACACAGGTACACAAGACACACAGACACACACACACACACACACACACACACGCACACACACAAAACGCACGCTCTCTGGATCGGGGATGACGAGAAAGCGCATGGACTCGACGCGCTGCTCGTTGTCGTCCGCATCCTCGTCCTGGATGAAATCAATGCTGGCTTCGTACTTCTGGGAGGTGACGTTGCCGACAGCGTTGAGCGGCACCTCGAACGCGGGCTTGCCGTCCACGTCAAAGACAAGGAAGTTGCCGTGGAAGCGGGCGCTGCCGGAGTTGTTACCCTTGAGTGACAGCTCCACAATCTTGATGTCGAGGTCGTAGTGCTTCTTGAAGAAGTCAATCATGGCGTTCATGTCGTTGGACTTGAAGCCTTCAAAGGTGGCATGACCGCCGCTCTTCAGCTTGATGCGCAGCTGATGTCCACGAGCAACGCGCTTTGTCTCGCACGAGGCCATGTCACTTTTGTAGAACGTCTGTGTCTTGTCCGTCGCCTCTCGTTTGAAGGCGAGACCTTCAGAAGTATATGTGTGTGTGTGCGAATGTGTGTGTGTGTGAGCAACAAGACGGACCATTGCAAAGCACATTCGACAGGATGCCTGTACAAACACGGGCCATGTCATTCCGCACAGACACACATGCAGACAAACCTTGTGGACTGCAGCGCATGCGGCCTCTGCATGATGCACCGCGCACAATCATGAAGACTGGCGTCTCCACGATCAGCTTCTCGTCAGCCATGACTTCCTCGTAGATGGAAACGGGGGATAGAGAGAGGAGGGGAGAAAGAAGAAGGAGGCAGTGGTCGATGTGGTCGACGTCAGTCTGATGTGGTCGATGTGGGTCGATGTGGTCGATGGCGAGCGACTGCGCAGACAGCAGACAACAGACACCAGTTTGGTTTGTTGTCGCGCGCGAAAATGAGACCTGCCTGCGACAGCACATGGAGTAGTCCATTTTGGCGCGCAAATCGTTCAAACAAACCAGAGACGACTTTGGCGGCAAACAGCAACACCCACGACGATGATGGACGAGGAGACAGCTGCGACAGCGACGATGAAGAGGAGGGTGGTGAAGAAGATGGTGGTGGATGATGATGATGATGATGATGATGAAGGGGAGGAGGAGGAGGAGGAACTTGATGTAAAGGGAGTGCAGGCAGTGAAGGAGCAGCAGCAGCAGCAGCACAACAACAACCAGAAACACAGCCTCACTGCTGCTCGCAAGGTGAGCGCGTCCGTGGCATGGCGTATGGCTGAGAATGCTCGTACTTGTTTGACATTGAGCTTGAATAGCTCGCTTTTGTGTGGCCAGCACACACACACACACACACACACACACACACACACACACACACACACACACTCACACACACACACACACACGCACACTCACCCTCACACTCACGCTCACACACTCTCTCACCCACACCCCCCCCCACACACACACACGCAGCGCATTATTGAGAGCGACGATGAGGACGAGGATGAGGACGAGGACAAGACCGACAGCGATGTTGAGAGCTACGCTGCGTTCCTCTTCCCTGGTGACAGCAGCGACAGCAAAAGCCAAGGCGGCAGCGACAAGGGCCAAAAGTCCAAGCAGACCAAGCTGCAGCTGGGAAAGCTACTGCAGCCTCCACCACGCACAGCACCAGCAAGCAAAGCTGAGCCGGCCCCACAACAGGTTACGCCGGACAACAAGGCCAGCGCACCTGCCAGCCCCTCCAACCAGGAGCAAGATTGCGAACAAGAGCAACAACAACAGAAGCAGCCTTCTGGGGCTGAGGATGATGCCACGCCAAGTAAGGAGCCCTTGCCCGCGACACCAAAGGAAGCCACCAAGGCCTCAGCTTCCAAGCACAAGAACAGTGACAGCACAGCAACCGACGATGGTGATCTGTCTCACGTTCAAAACTACGTGAACCCAAAGGACTGGGAGGCCCCCAAGTCAACAAAGCCAAAGGACCCCAACTACAAGCCTGCGTGGATGCGCGGCACGCGCCGATCCGCCAAGCGCTCAGCCAAGCCCAAATCAAAGGCCAAGAAGGTGTTGTGTGTTTGTAGTTGAGGGTGTGTCGTGCGTGCACTTGTCTGTGTGTGTGCACTTGTCTGTGTATGAGCTTGTGTGTGTGTGTGTGTGTGTCGTGCGTCGTGTGTGTCGTGTGTCGTGTCTTGTCATGTCGTGGCGTGCGTGTTCGCATCTGGGCTGTGCTATAATATCACAACTTGTTCACCGTTGGCGCTGGTGCCTGTGCGTATGCTTCCCGTGTGCAGACTGCCAAGACCAGCAAGGCCAAAAGCGCCTCCCGGTCCACGTCGACCTCATCCCCAGAGGAGAGCCAGACATCCACTGCCACGCCAGAAGCAACGCAGGATATGGACACCCAGCCAGAGAGCTGCGGTGACCAGGAAAAGGCAGAGGCAGCAACGTCAACCAGAGCTGCTGGTTCTGATGATGCGGGCACCCGCAACTGCACTGACGCCGACACCATTACAGCCAGAGGTGACAGCAACATCGACGATGACAGCGACAACAACAGCGATAACAGCGCCAGTGGGGAGAGCATGGACACTGCGGAGGACACAGCAGCCGCAGAAGGCAACGGTGCTGTGACCCCTGAGGTGGAAGACCGCAGTGATCGCAGCAGAGACGTGCAGACACCAGCGCGGCCGCTTGATGCATCAAATGAGAAGAAGAAAGAGCAAGTGAACGAGAGCACAGAGGCAAAGGCCGAAGGAGTGCAGCAGAGGAGCGATGGGGCAGAAAAGCAAAAGCAAACGCAAAAGGAAAAGGATGAGAAGAAGAAAGAGGGGAAGGACCAAGGCAGCGCTCTTGCTGGCGGCGACAAGACAGAGAAGCCAGCAGCTGCTGCATCTTCCTCCAAGCGGACCATCATGGACATGTTTTTCGGTAATGCCTGCAAGCACTGCATGTCCTGCCATGTCCTGGTTCCTCCTTCCCCACGTGCGAGGTCTACGCCTCTGCTATTTTGTTGTTCCGTTCTCAGCGCTTGCATTCATTCACTGACATGCCTCACACATGCTTGTGTTCGTTGCTACTACCCAGCTCCCCGCAAAGCGGTCAAGAAATCAGCGACGAAGACGGGCAAAGCATCAGAGGTGGACAAGCCCAAGGCACCACCAGCCACATCACCAGCGGCAGTCTCATCCACACCAACACGGCGTTCAGCGGATACCAACGCTGCTGCGGCCAAAACAGGCACAACAACACCAGCAAACCCACCATCGTCATCATCATCAACAACACCTGGCTGTGATCCCAGCGACTTTGACCCGAGCGCAGCGCGGTTGGTTGAAGCTGTAGATTGTGGCAGAGCTGGAGGCATGCGAAGGTGTTGGTGGCAGTGGAAAGTAACGCATGTTGTGACTGTTGGCTTTCACATCCACGCAACCTCTCATGCGCTCACCGTGGTGTCACACACACACACACACACACACACACACACACACACACACACACACACACACACACACACACACACACACACGCACACACACACGCACATACACCTGCAGGTATGACCCGATTGCGAGCGCGTGCTGGTGCCGGGGACAGCAGGTGCCGTACAAGGCGCTGGCGGCGACATTCAAGCTTGTGGAGGCGACGAGCAAACGCTTGGAGATTATCAACACCGTCTGCAACCTCTTCCGCTCCGTGATGGTGCTCAGCCCAGCCTCACTCGTGCACTGCATCTACCTGTGCACAAACGACCTCGCCCCTGCATACGAGGGCATTGAGCTTGGCATCGGAGATTCCATCCTCATGAAGGCAATTCAGATTGCGTCAGGGCGCAGTCTTCAACAGATTCGTGCAGACATGGCCACCATCGGAGACCTGGGTTTGTGTGTGTCTGTGTCTGTGTCTGTGTCTGTGTGTCTGTGTCTGTGTCTGTGTGTCTGTGTGTGTCTGTGTCTGTGTCTGTGTCTGTGTCTGTGTGTGTGTATCCGGGTCAATGTACGTGCGTCATCACCTCACCTCACCTCACCTCACCACCGCCATTCGTCCCACCCATGCGCGTGCAGGGGAGGTGGCTGCCAAGTCCCAGTCGAAGCAGCGCAAGCTGACGTTTGGGCGCAAGAAGAAACCGCTCACCGTTGATGCTGTCTTTGCAAAGCTCAAAGCTATCGCCGTGCTCAAGGGGCAGAATGTACGTCGTGTGTCGTTTCCTGCGTGGGTTTGCAATTGGGGGACGGGGGAGCGAAATTGGGAAGGTGGGTTTGGGGGGGGGGTTGCTTGTTTGCTGGTTACACACACGAGCCACGTGTGTATGCGTGAGTGTATGCGTGAGTGTATGCGTGAGTGTGTGAATGTTCCTGGTCCATGAGTCCATTTTTTGGATGCAGCCACTCACTCACTCACTCACTCACTCACTCGCTCGCTCGCTCACTCACCACCACCACCACCACCACCATGACAGAGCCAGCAGCGCAAGGTTGACATGATCCAGGGCCTGCTGGTCGCGTGCCAGTCGAGCGACGAGGCGAAATTCCTCATCCGCGCACTCGGTGAGAAGAAGAAGAAGACAGCACGACCCATGGTGGCGGTTTGGGAAGTATGATGTTTGGCTGGGGCTGGGGTGGAGGATGTGCATTGGGGAGATGTGTGTGCTTGTGTGTGTGTGTGCTTGTGTGTGTGCGTGCGTGTGTGCGTGTGTGTGCATACGCACACTGCGCGTGCACGAACGCACACGTCTTAAACACGCATGTGCACGTGTGCACACGAAGGCGACGCATACTGCTCTCACCATCACCATTCTACTGTTTGATGATCTTCACAAGGTGGCAAGCTGCGCATTGGACTGGCGGAATTGAGTGTACTGAGCGCACTGGGGCAGGCGATTGCACTCACCCCGCCGGCTCAAGGTACGAAATTAGAGGTTGGATGATGCGGTGGAGGGGAGATGCTTGGTTGTGTGCTGACACCGCTTACAGGCAGGTGTTGTCCTGTAGAACCTACATGACAGGCTGTTCATAACACACACACACACTCTCTCTCTGCCTCCCTCTATTGGCTTTTGCACTGTCACGCACACACACACACACACACACTCACTCTCTCTTTCGCTCACACACATATCAGGGGAGTATCCACCGCCTATTCTGGATGCGAGCAAAGGTGTTCATGCAGACAAATTCAAGGCAACCATGGAGGAGTGCACGCTGGTACGCACTTGCAATAGGCATGATTTGTGGTTGCGGAAGAAGTGGTGTTGGTGGTGTGAGAGTGATGGTGGTGGTGGGCGTGTGGGAGTGGTGGTGGTGATGCCGATGGTGGTGGGGGATGAGGCAGAGGCGCGTAAAGGTTTCCACTGTACAGTTCGCTGTTGCAGTGACACGAGCATCGACCTCAACGCCGCCGCCCGCCCCTGCTTGTTTTCCATCACAGAAACTGAAGACGGTGTATTGTGAGCTTCCAAACTACGACTACATCATCCCAATCCTCCTCGAAGAAGGGTGTGTGTGTATGTGTATGTCTATGAGAGTATGTGCGCGCTTGTGCTGGGATTCACGCTGTTTTTGTGTTTGATGTTGTTCTCTTTCCGACGCACGCACCCTCACATATGTGTCGCATTGCACCATCTCTGGGCCGATCTTCAGCATCGATGCGCTGTCTGAGAAGTGTGGCATCACGCCTGGCATTCCCATGAAGCCAATGCTCGCCCACCCAACAAAGGTGTGCATGATGCGTGCTCTGTGTGTGTGTGTGTGTGTGTGTGTGTGTGTGTGTGTGTGCATGTGCATTGCATGGATGCAGCGCACCTTGCATCGTCTCCAATGTTTCCCTCACACCTTCTCCCCCACCACCTTCATGTGTGTGTGCGTGTGTGTGTTCAGGGCGTGGATGAGGTGCTGCAGCGCTTTGACGGAAAGACGTTCGTGTGCGAATACAAATACGATGGCGAGCGTGCACAAGTCCACCGCAACGAAAAGGGCGAGGTGTGTGTGTGTCGTGTATGTGTATGTGTGTGTGTGTGTGCGTGTGTGTGTGTGTGTGCGTGTGTGTGTGTGTGTGTGTGTATGTCTGCTGTGGTCATTGTCCTTGATTGGCTCGTTGTTTGGGGTCCTTCTCACCAGTTGTCAACTGCATGCATCTGTTTTGCAGATGTTCATCTACAGTCGCAACTCTGAGAACCACACAACCAAGTACCCAGACGTCATTGCAAACGTCCCAAACGTACGGGATGTGTTCACACCAATGCCATGCATGCACACATGATCGTGGTTGGCCAAGCAAGTATTGGAAACGCTGCACCCACTGCCACACATGCGCGCGCACACCGTGGCGCATTTAACTGACACACACACACACGCACGCACGCACACGCACGCACGCACACACACACACACACACACACACACACACACACACACACACACACACACACACACACACACACACACACACACACACACACACACACACACACACGCACGCACAGGCGTTTGCGGAGGGCGTATCTGATTTTGTGCTGGACTGCGAGGCCGTTGCGTTTGACATGACAAGCCAGCAGATTCTTCCGTTCCAAGTGCTCAGCACACGCAAGCGCAAGGACGCCACAGAAGACAGCGTGGAGGTGCAGGTGTGTCTGTTTGCGTTTGATCTCCTCT